TACCTTTACGTCCTCTTTTTCTTAATTTTCTGGACCCACCCAATGTCATCTCTTATTCCTAATTTTTTTTTCTTTTCTTAGACAAGTTATTTTTTTCAGTTTATTTTGACTCTTTACATCTCTTACTTTCTGCTCTAGATCCAATTTGATGATCTGATTACCACGCTCGGCTTACGTCAAACAAAAATATTTCTTTGCTTGTCCAACTGGGGGATAGTTTTCAAGCGTTTATGAAATTTTTCCACTCTTACTCGGGAAGTGAGGGCTTCAAAATAAAAATTTGAAAAGAGCTTTTTTGCGTACAAGAAAAATAATCCGTGTTCCATAGAATTTCCTACCTTGAGTTTTCTCTCCACAATATCGCAGACTACAGGCTGGTGGCCGATCCAGTTCGTACACAAAGAAACCACCACAGTTACGAACCAAAATATTACTGGACCACTGACAGCAGCCTGATGACCAGTGGAAACACACTTTGCGTTGAACGGCTCCCTCGCCCACTGTGGGATGTGCGCCACTCAGCCAGCCCGGTGCATGGGTACCACACTGAAGTTTAGGTACACACTTAGTTGGCATCTGTGTGCCTGCATCTCCCGCGAATCTGTACCAGCCTTTTCCAAGTGAGCTGTCACATTTGACTGACCCTTTGTAAGTTGTTATACGGTCACTTTCGTTCAAGACTTTGTAGTTGGAACAAGCTGGAGTGGAAGGTATTGTATTTGGTTTGTATCTCGTATCACACTGGCTACTACGCATGTTCTGTACGTATACACTCTTTTTTTGATATAGGAATATCTGGCATTGGAGCTAAGGCCGGACGTTCCTATCGTTTGCTATTTGAACCTAACAACATTCGCAAGATGTTCATGTTGTAGTATTCAATAAATCAAAGTGTATCTTACCAGGAAACTTAACAAATTGCATATCAGACGTTCCATAGGTGGTCCTCCTTCGGTTCTTTGCCAAAATGCTCAAGAATTTTTATGTTTCAGGTAGCCTTCTCGAATAATTCCTTAACAAGACGGTGGCGTAGTTTTTCGATATCTTTTCAAATACCTTTAACCTTTTCTCTACAGGTAATTAAAGTATAAATAAAGATCTAGAATATGCTCAACTCACCAAAAATGACTGGAGGTGGCGTTGATGGAGGTGGTGGCGAGCCTCCTAGAGAAAAAAAAATAAAAACGGCACATAAGCTCATGACAACATAGTATGATTTTAACATAGCTCTTATATTGTTATATTTGAAATGAAGGTAAGATAAAGAATGGGGTTTGATCTCTACTACCTTGAAATGTCTCTCCACAGTATCGCATGCTGCATCCCGGTGGTTCAACCAACTCGTACACAAAGAAACCACCACAGTTACGAACGTTAATATTACTGGACCATTGACAGCAGCCTGATGTCCAATGGAAACATACTTTGCGTTGGACGGCTCCCTCGCCCACTGTGGGATGTGCGTCACTCAGCCAGCCTGGTGCATGGGTACCGCAATAATATCTAGGCACACACTTTGTTGGCATCTGTGTGCCTGCACCTCCTTGAAACCTGTACCAGCGTTTTCCGGCTGGCAACGGCCGGTCACATTTGATAGCTCCTTTGTAGCCTGTGTTACGGTCATTTTCGCCCAGGACTTGGTAGTTTGAACACTCTGGTTATGTTAACAAAAAGCAAACAAACAGGCAAAAAAATTAAGCAATAAATGCGACAACACAATGACGAACCTAGATTTTCAAGAGCTCACTATACCCCCGGTATTATTTTGATTTCACAAAGACTGATAACTATTTCATATTTCTATTGTCAGAGAGCATGACCCCCTTAGATTGTGAAACATTTTTTTCTTCGATTTTTCCTAAATTACCTCCGAACTCATTTCAAGTATTTTTGCATTTTATTTATCACATTGTCATTGATGTTTATGTGTTTTTGCTTAGAACTTCCAGCGATGGACAGTCTTTTGTATTAGTCAAAAATAAATTTGATCTAGTAACTACTACCAGCATTCTATCAAACCACTCAAACAATCAACTAAATTCATAAAATTCATATGTTCACAAACTGTACACAAGTAGATGGTCGCTCTCTTCATTTCTACAATTAGCTTTAAATTTCAGGGTGTGTTCTCAGTGTGAGGCATTGTCTTGAAGATTTCATGGAAATATGCTGGAAAAAAGGCTTATTCTACAATGCAATATGGCTCGCATCCTAACAATTGTGATTTTAAAAAATACTAAACACGACATCTTTTATTGACGAAATTCATTTACCATAAATCTTACGCAATTTCGAACCTCGATTTTCATAATTTATATATGCTTCAAGTCCTATACCCTCAGCAATTATGTATCTACACATAATTATGATAATTTCGCAATTTTAATCGTCTGAGAGCACACCCTCTTTCAATTGTGAAACAATCATTTTTTTTTTTCAAGACTCACCCTCGAACTTAGTTTATGTATTTTTACATTATATTTGTCACGTTGTCGTTGATTTACTGTGTTTCTGCTTGAATTTCACGGAGAATTTTCAGCGATAGACGGTCTTTTTCAAAATAACTGCGTAAATTTTAGCGTTCATATCGGTCGACAACCATCGTCAATAAGGTTACCGAAGATAAAAATGATGAAAAGGACGTAACATGTAACTCAACACTCAGCAATCTTCGCCATGTCGGAGAAAAAAAAAAAGTAACAATGGAAAATTGCAGTTGGCTTTTCAATCGCATAAGTTGAAAACAAACTTGATCTAGTTTACAATGTCAGCGTTCTATCCAAAAAGGAGACGTCCTGTTTATTATTTTTTCCTCCCAAACTGTCTTCTGGAGGTTGGTCCGTTCGAGACACTTAAACTATTTGCTTTTGATTGCAGTTTTTTGTCTTGAAATAAAAATCAAAATATGTTAAAAACATTTCTAACTAAAGCTCTCGTCCTATTGCTTCCCTATAGAGTAAGAACTGAAACACGACATTCTGTCAGGAAGTTGAGAAAATCATGCAGCATACATCTTAGCATTAACTGTTCTTCATAAACGTAACTCAGTCGACGATAGCTTTTTCTGATTATCAAATAGAGAGGGGGGCAGGGTTTTTCACACCACTAGTTAGGTTTCCAAGATTAACTAAGATAGCATTGGTCTTGTCATTTTTATAGTGATTGGCACATATCAATAACTTTTTTGGAAAGCTTTGTCAGCCTACTTTTAATATTTAGCTGTTCAACTTACCGGGAGCCACTGGAGGCGCTGTTGTAACCGGCGGTGGTGGTGATCCGCCTGGTAAAAATGCAACACAATATTTGCAGTGTTTTCAATACTTTTTTCTCTTTTCTTTTAATCTCTTTGTAGAGAAATTGCTGTCAATAAATACGCAAAAACACTCTTACCTTGAGCTTTCTCTCCACAATATCGCAAGCTACATGTAGGTGCCCGAACCAACTCGTACACAAAGAAACCGCCACAGTTACGAACCCTAATATTACTGGACCACCGACAGCAGTTTGATGACCAATGGAAACATACTTTACGTTGAACTGCTCCCTCGTTCACAGTGGGATGTCCGTCACTCAGCCAGCCTGGTGCATGGGTACCACACTGATTTATGGGCACACACTTTGTAGGCATTTGTGAGCCCGCACCTCCTTGAAACCTGTACCAGCGTGTAGCCATTGAGTTATCACATTTGACTGACCCTTTGAAGGCTGTGTTACGATCATTTTCGCTCAGAACTTGGTAGTTTGAACACTCTGGTAATGTTAAAAACAAATGAAGAAACAACAACAAAAAACAAACAAACAAACAAACAAACAAAATTAGTAAAAGTGAAGACACAATTTCTAACCTTGATTTTCATAAGTTATATCTGCCTTATGACCTATACCTTTACACCCGATTAATCCGTATTTTCGAAATAATTAAGAAAATTTCACAATTGCTATCGTCTGAGGAAAAGTTCGCTTTAAACTGCAACTGATTCATCTGTTGTTTTTGTTGTTGTTGTTGTTGTTTACTTGTTTGGCTTTTTTTATCTACCTTCGAACTCTGTTTATGTATTTTTTCATTATATTTATCACGTTGTCTTTTATTTATTGCGTTTCTGAACACGACATACATTCGGGGAGTTGGGAAAATCATGCAGCATACATCTTACATGTAGCATTAACTGTTCTTCAATACCGTAACCCGATTGACGATAGCTTTTCTGATTATCAAATAGAGAGGGGGGCAGGGTTTTTCACACCACTAGTTAGGTTTCCAAGATTAATTAAGGTAACATTGGTCTTTTCATTTTTATGGTGATTGGCACATATCAATAACTTTTTTGGAAAGCTTTGTAACCCAGCCTACTTTTAATATTTAGCTCTTCAACTTACCGGGAGCCACTGGGAGCGCTGTTGGTGGTGATCCGCCTAGTAAAAATGCAACACAATATTTACAGTGTTTTCAAGACTTATTTCTCTTTTCTTTTAATCTCTTTGTAGAGATATTGCTGTCATTAAGTACGCAAAAACACTCTTACCTTGAGCTTTCTCTCCACAATATCGCAAGCTACATGTAGGTGCCCGAACCAACTCGTACACAAAGAAACCGCCACAGTTACGAACCCTAATATTACTGGACCACCGACAGCAGTTTGATGACCAGTGGAAACACACTTTACGTTGAACTGCTCCCTCGTTCACAGTGGGATGTCCGTCACTCAGCCAGCCTGGTGCATGGGTACCACACTGATTTATGGGCACACACTTTGTAGGCATTTGTGAGCCCGCACCTCCTTGAAACCTGTACCAGCGTGTAGCCATTGAGTTATCACATTTGACTGACCCTTTGTAGGCTGTGTTACGATCATTTTCGCTCAGAACTTGGTAGTTTGAACACTCTGGTAATGTTAAAAACAAATGAAGAAACAACAACAAAAAACAAACAAACAAACAAACAAACAAAATTAGTAAAAGTGAAGACACAATTTCTAACCTTGATTTTCATAAGTTATATCTGCCTTATGACCTATACCTTTACACCCGGTTAATCCGTATTTTCGAAATAATTAAGAAAATTTCACAATTGCTATCGTCTGAGGAAAAGTTCGCTTTAAACTGCAACTGATTCATCTGTTGTTTTTGTTGTTGTTGTTGTTGTTGTTTACTTGTTTGGCTTTTTTTATCTACCCTCGAACTCTGTTTATGTATTTTTTCATTATATTTATCACGTTGTCTTTTATTTATTGCGTTTCTGAACACGACATACATTCGGTGGTTGGGAAAATCATGCAGCATACATCTTACATGTAGCATTAACTGTTCTTCAATACTGTAACCCGGTTGACGATAGCTTTTCTGATTATCAAATAGAGAGGGGGGCAGGGTTTTTCACACCACTAGTTAGGTTTCCAAGATTAATTAAGATAACATTGGTCTTTTCATTTTTATGGTGATTGGCACATATCAATAACTTTTTTGGAAAGCTTTGTAACCCAGCCTACTTTTAATATTTAGCTCTTCAACTTACCGGGAGCCACTGGGAGCGCTGTTGGTGGTGATCCGCCTAGTAAAAATGCAACACAATATTTACAGTGTTTTCAAGACTTATTTCTCTTTTCTTTTAATCTCTTTGTAGAGATATTGCTGTCATTAAGTACGCAAAAACACTCTTACCTTGAGCTTTCTCTCCACAATATCGCAAGCTACATGTAGGTGCCCGAACCAACTCGTACACAAAGAAACCGCCACAGTTACGAACCCTAATATTACTGGACCACCGACAGCAGTTTGATGACCAATGGAAACACACTTTACGTTGAACTGCTCCCTCGTTCACAGTGGGATGTCCGTCACTCAGCCAGCCTGGTGCATGGGTACCACACTGATTTATGGGCACACACTTTGTAGGCATTTGTGAGCCCGCACCTCCTTGAAACTTGTACCAGCGTGTAGCCATTGAGTTATCACATTTCACTGACCCTTTGTAGGCTGTGTTACGATCATTTTCGCTCAGAACTTGGTAGTTTGAACACTCTGGTAATGTTAAAAACAAATGAAGAAACAACAACAAAAAACAAACAAACAAACAAACAAAATTAGTAAAAGTGAAGACACAATTTCCAACCTTGATTTTTATAAGTTATATCTGCCTCAAGACCTCTACCTATACACCCGGTTAATCCGTATTTTCGAAAAAATTAACAAAATTTCATAATTGCTATCGTCTGAGGAAAAGTTCGCTTTAAACTGCAACTGATTCATCTGTTGTTTTTGTTGTTGTTGTTGTTGTTGTTTACTTGTTTGGCTTTTTTTTTATCTACCCTCGAACTCTGTTTATGTATTTTTTCATTATATTTATCACGTTGTCTTTTATTTATTGCGTTTCTGAACACAACATACATTCGGGGAGTTGGGAAAATCATGCAGCATACATCTTACATGTAGCATTTACTGTTCTTCAATACCGTAACCCGGTTGACGATAGCTTTTCTGATTATCAAATAGAGAGGGGGGCAGGGTTTTTCACACCACTAGTTAGGTTTCCAAGATTAATTAAGATAAAATTTGTCGTGTCATTTTTATGGTGATTGGCACATATCAATAACTTTTTTGGAAAGCTTTGTAACCCAGCCTGCTTTTACTATTCACTTGTTCAACTTACCGGGAGCCACTGGGAGCGCTGTTGGTGGTGATCCGCCTAGAAAAAATGCAGCACAATATTTGCAGTGTTTTCAAGACTTTTTTCTCTTTTCTTTTTGTTGTTTTCTTTTTTTCCATTTGTAGAGAAATTGCTGCCAATAAGTACGCAAAAACACTCTTACCTTGAGCTTTCTCTCCACAATATCGCAAGCTACATGTAGGTGCCCGAACCAACTCGTACACAAAGAAACCGCCACAGTTACGAACCCTAATATTACTGGACCACCGACAGCAGTTTGATGACCAATGGAAACATACTTTACGTTGAACTGCTCCCTCGTTCACAGTGGGATGTCCGTCACTCAGCCAGCCTGGTGCATGGGTACCACACTGATTTATGGGCACACACTTTGTAGGCATTTGTGAGCCCGCACCTCCTTGAAACCTGTACCAGCGTGTAGCCATTGAGTTATCACATTTGACTGACCCTTTGAAGGCTGTGTTACGATCATTTTCGCTCAGAACTTGGTAGTTTGAACACTCTGGTAATGTTAAAAACAAATGAAGAAACAACAACAAAAAACAAACAAACAAACAAACAAAATTAGTAAAAGTGAAGACACAATTTCTAACCTTGATTTTCATAAGTTATACCTGCTTCAAGGCCAGTGTGCTATACCCTCGGTAATTGTGTTTCTACGAATAACTATGAACAATTCATAATTATCATCGTCTGAGAACACGTTCCACTTAAATTGTGAATGATTCATTTTTTTTTTGCTTTTTTCTAACTCTACCCTTGAACTCAGTTTATGAATTTTTTTGCATTATATTTATTACATTGTCGCTGATGAATTGTGTTTCTGCTTATATTTCACCTAAACATTTTCAGCGATAGACAGTCTTTTTCACAGTAACTGCAAAAAGTTTTCGTGTGCCTATCGGTCAACACTCATCGTCAGTAAGGATATCGGAGATAAAATGATAAAAGTGACCTAACATGTAACGCAACACTCACCAATCGTCGCCATGTCGGAGGAAAAAAGTAACAGTAGAAAGTTGTGGTCGATTTGTTAATCGCATAACTTGAAAAGAAAGTTGATTTAGTTTACAATGTCAGCGTTCTATCCGAAAAAAGAGACGTCTTGTTTGTAGTTTTTTGTCCTCCAAAAATGTCTGCAAGAGGATGGTCCGTTCGAGTCACTTAAACTATTTGCTTTCAATTTCAGCTACTTGTCTTGATATACAAATAAAAAATATGTTGAAAACATTTTTCACCACAGCTCTCGTCCTACCGTTTGTCCATAGTGTAAAACTGAAACACGACATTCTGTCAGGGAGTTTAGAAAATTATACAGCATACATTTTAGCTTTAACTGTTCCTCAATACCGTAACCCAGTCGCCGAAGGCTTTTTCTGATTAGAAAGGAGGGACAGGGTTTTTCAAACCACTGGTTAGGTTTCCAAGTTCACCTAGAAAAGCATTGGTCTTGACATTTTTATGGTGATTGGCATACTATTGGTAATCCAGCCTGCTTTTTCTCTTTAGTTGTTCAACTTACCGGGAGCCACTGGGGGCGCTGTTGTAACCGGCGGTGGTGGTGATCCGCCTGGTAAAAATGCAACACAATATTTGCAGTGTTTTCAAGACTTATTTCTCTTTTCTTTTAATCTCTTTGTAGAGAAATTGCTGTCAATAAGTACGCAAAAACACTCTTACCTTGAGCTTTCTCTCCACAATATCGCAAGCTACATGTAGGTGCCCGAACCAACTCGTACACAAAGAAACCGCCACAGTTACGAACCCTAATATTACTGGACCACCGACAGCAGTTTGATGACCAATGGAAACATACTTTACGTTGAACTGCTCCCTCGTTCACAGTGGGATGTCCGTCACTCAGCCAGCCTGGTGCATGGGTACCACACTGATTTATGGGCACACACTTTGTAGGCATTTGTGAGCCCGCACCTCCTTGAAACCTGTACCAGCGTGTAGCCATTGAGTTATCACATTTGACTGACCCTTTGAAGGCTGTGTTACGATCATTTTCGCTCAGAACTTGGTAGTTTGAACACTCTGGTAATGTTAAAAACAAATGAAGAAACAACAACAAAAAACAAACAAACAAACAAACAAAATTAGTAAAAGTGAAGACACAATTTCTAACCTTGATTTTCATAAGTTATATCTGCCTTATGACCTATACCTTTACACCCGGTTAATCCGTATTTTCGAAAAAATTAAGAAAATTTCACAATTGCTATCGTCTGAGGAAAAGTTCGCTTTAAACTGCAACTGATTCATCTGTTGTTTTTGTTATTGTTGTTGTTGTTTACTTGTTTGGCTTTTTTTTTATCTACCCTCGAACTCTGTTTATGTATTTTTTCATTATATTTATCACGTTGTCTTTTATTTATTGCGTTTCTGAACACGACATACATTCGGTGGTTGGGAAAATCATGCAGCATACATCTTACATGTAGCATTAACTGTTCTTCAATACTGTAACCCGGTTGACGATAGCTTTTCTGATTATCAAATAGAGAGGGGGGCAGGGTTTTTCACACCACTAGTTAGGTTTCCAAGATTAATTAAGATAGCATTGGTCTTGTCATTTTTATGGTGATTGGCACATATCAATAACTTTTTTGGAAAGCTTTGTAACCCAGCCTACTTTTAATATTTAGCTCTTCAACTTACCGGGAGCCACTGGGGGCGCTGTTGTAACCGGCGGTGGTGGTGATCCGCCTGGTAAAAATGCAACACAATATTTACAGTGTTTTCAAGACTTATTTCTCTTTTCTTTTAATCTCTTTGTAGAGAAATTGCTGTCAATAAGTACGCAAAAACACTCTTACCTTGAGCTTTCTCTCCACAATATCGCAAGCTACATGTAGGTGCCCGAACCAACTCGTACACAAAGAAACCGCCACAGTTACGAACCCTAATATTACTGGACCACCGACAGCAGTTTGATGACCAATGGAAACACACTTTACGTTGAACTGCTCCCTCGTTCACAGTGGGATGTCCGTCACTCAGCCAGCCTGGTGCATGGGTACCACACTGATTTATGGGCACACACTTTGTAGGCATTTGTGAGCCCGCACCTCCTTGAAACCTGTACCAGCGTGTAGCCATTGAGTTATCACATTTGACTGACCCTTTGAAGGCTGTGTTACGATCATTTTCGCTCAGAACTTGGTAGTTTGAACACTCTGGTAATGTTAAAAACAAATTGGAGAAATAACAACAGAAAAAAAAAACAAACAAATTAATAAACGTGAAGATACAATTTCCAACCTTGACTTTCATTTATATCTGCCTTATGACCTATACCTTTACACCCGCCGTATTTTCAAAAAATTAAGATTTCTGTATCGTCTGAGGAAAAGTTCGCTTTACCCTCAGAACTTGGTAATTGGTAATGTAAAACAAATTGAAATAACATTTTAATAAACGTGAACATTTACCTGCCTCAAGATCTGTGCGTAATTGTGTATGTACGAACATTTATGAACATTTCACAATTATTATCGTCTGATAACACGTATTGTTACATTATATTTATCACGTTATGGTTGATATAGTATGTTTCTGAACACGACATTCTTTCAGGGTGTTGAGAAAATCATCTAGCATACATCTTAGCATAACTGTGACCCATAACCGTAACCCAGTTGACGATGGCTTTTTCTGATTATGAAATAAAGAGGAGGGCAGGGTTTTTCACACTGGTTAGGTTTCCAAGCTAACTTAAGATAGCATTGGTCTCGTCATTTTTATGGTGATTGGCACGCATCAATAACTTTTTCGGAAAACATTAGTTATCCACCCTGCTTTTAATCTTTAGTTGTCCAACTTACCAGGGGCCACTGGAGGAGTTGGTGAACCGCCTGGAAAGAGATGCAACAGAAAATTTGCAATTTTTTAACAATTCATTTTTTTGCGTGAGTGTTTTAATGCATTTGTAGAAGACCTGCCGTCAAAAAGTGAGCCGAAAGAAAAAAGAAAGGGAAGACATGCAGAGCAAAGTTTACAGGAAGATGCAGACTTTTTTGAAAGTAGAATATCTATACACCTTAACATGTAGCTAATCCTTGTCTCTTGTCAGTGAAAATAACTTTTCTTAAAATAACCTTCAACTAATGTGGTCTAGACAATTGACCTAGCCTGACGGATTCACGATCAAGGAGGGGGGTATTGGGGTCTACTAGAAACTGTCACAAAAATTTAAAAGAAAAATCATTTAAAACCACCAAACCGAGAAAAAGCGAAAAAATTCAATCAAAACCGAAAACCGCATGCAAAACCGTCAAAACCGACAAATTTCCACATCCCAGTTATCAAAACCCTTATCGATGCGATGCAGTGGTGACAAATTGAGCATACAGAGGTTTCGCGGCTATTCCAGATCGGAGGAGGCGCACATTTGCCGCTCAGATCAAAATGAGACCGGAGCCCAAAAAGAAAAACCAAATGCCACATCGGATACCAAATCCGAAAATCTTTTAGTATTTTTTGACGAAAACCGAAAACCAAACGCTAAAAAGTGGAAAATCTGCAAACAGCAATAAACACCAAATCCGAAAACCGACATATTCTGGCACAAAAACCGAAAAACCGATCTAGAAAAAAGCCAAAACCGCTGCACCAAAAAGCCTAATGCCCGCCTCATCAAGCATTTGGGACATGAGCTACTCGCAAATGTTGAGCTTACCGCATCCTGACGTGGTTGGTATGGGAGGAGAGGGTGGTGGCCCTCCTGCAAAAATAATTCACGGTAATTTTTTTTCAAAAAAGCAGTGCAACCTCCTCAAGTAATAAAGGTAAAAGGAATGTTAAGAATAATATGAATCTTTACGGAAAAATAGAAAGATGTGTATATTTTTTCTTTTTTTACACAGCCCTTTTGGCTTGCAATGAGTAACATTTTGCTAAGCAAAATTTGTGATCAACAAAAAAATACATACCAGAAAAAGAAGGCCAATGTGAATCGCTACGTTTTTACTGCACTCTAAAGTAAGTGCTAATAATCTCCAAGTGATTAGATCGACTAAATATACGTAAGTTGAAATGTCCACATCGGTCAGAAGTGAGCACGATCAAACATTTCCAAAATCAAGTTTGTTGCGCAGCATAAATTGATGGTCAAACATGCCTTACGTACCAAACATACCAAAACGATATGTGACAAAACTGCTTGATCGTATAAGTGGGACTTAATCGTTTGTCTAATACCCCACTACTATGAATCCAGCACGAAGAATAACCACAGCGATTAGATATCACGATATTAAGGTACAAAACTTATTTCTTACCTCCTCCACTAATCCCAGTGTGCTGTTTGATCCACGCTCGGTACTGTGTCACTCGGGCAAACACAGTAAAAAGTTGTTTAGCATCGCATCTGGAAGAACCCCAGCTGACTGCACCATGTAAGGTATATGTATTCCCATCCGCATTCAAGCACACATACGGTCCTCCACTATCACCATGACAACCACTTAAAATGGAATTGTCCACGCCCGCACACAACATTTGCGGAGTTAACGTTATTGAGACTGCAAAAATATAAGTACATACAAAGTTAGCGTGAACGATCTAAAAGAAAGAATTTTGCATTGAAAGGTAACCCAAAATTGCTTTGGATTTTATCACCGCGCAATAAAGGTGGTTTAAAAAACCGATTTTTATGACAGATGTGACTCAAATTTAAGTAGAATTCGACTCAATCGATGAGTTCACCAAAGAATAGTGGGTTGTAGGATTTAAGAATTTAAGATTTCGTATTTAAGCGGGCCACAATAGGTTTGATAAAGAACTGAAGTACGGTTAAAGCAAAGCATCTCTTCAAATAGGCTGGTCTAATTTATTTTCAGTTAGAAAAAAATTATCAATTGATTCGGGTAAGAGCAGCTTATCATAATTTTTCGAACATCGGGAAGAGGAATCCAAATTAACGACGAAAAAAATCCACTCTGACTCAGTGATCCAACGTTTCAATCTTATTCGGTTTGTTTAAACAGCTGAAAAACAGTAATTGGGGTTGAAGAAAATGTACTTCGTCGAATTGTCCTAGCACGCCGCGCAGATTAAGTGTATAATGTTCGCTTGGTCTTTGTCTTAAAACTGTCATCACAAACGAGAATATTTGTCGTTTTGATAAATGTTGTGGACAAATTCTGCAGGTAAACCTAAAGACAGACTTAATAAGCGAAAGACGGAAAATGTTATGCTTATGAAAAATCTACAATATAGACTTTCTGATGTACCTCCACTTGCTTGAATCTTCTGCCTACACTTTGCTGGATCGATAGGCGGCATCATGGCTTGTTGCAAAATAGGATGAGATCCTCCTGGATGCTTAATCTTTCCCCAGCCTATCAAAGCGGCAAGTTCATAACATTATACTTACGTCAATAACATTTCAAGGTCTCCGTTGTGTTCTTATCTGTTGATTAACGAAGTCGGTAAACAGGAAGGAAAAGAGCTGCAAAAGAACTTATAAGGAGTACCACGAAAATGTTGAAACAACCATGTTTGCCATTTGAAGAAACATCCTTTGTTATCCCCTATGTGGTGCTTTCTGAAGGAAACTCCTGAGAAAATTTTGAGCCCAGTATAGCGTAATGCAGAATTTTAGAACGTGTATGACTCCTCGCTAATAAAGACACCTGGAAGACGGTTATTTGGAAGCGAAACATCCTTTCGAGGTAAAATAAGTGAATATACAACTTACTGAATTACCCACAAGTTGCAAGGGCTTTCCTAAAAAGTACTAAGGCAAAGCTTTTCCTCAAGCGAGCCGGCTTGTCAGCTCCTCAACTGGAATGCCCGTGAATTATTGCTTTACGACAGAGGAGTTGGGCCATTTTTATTGCATGGGATTTGCATGGTCTATATATTAAAAACAAGCGGACCTCTCATGACCACCCTCACCTGTAATGTAACATTTTGATCCTGTGGGTACATTTGAGTCGCTAGACGGTAGGCACACAGGGTTCACCCTGGCAGAGAGCTTCACAGACGTAGCGAGTTTAATCAGGGCGATGTCATTGTTAAGTCTACCAGGACTATTGTATTGAGGGTGAGAAATGATTTGCGCGGCGCCAACAGACTCCTCTGTTCCTTCGTTCACATTCCGATTGTGATCACCAACAACTATTCTGTAATTGGCAGGATTTCTACAAATATACAATACAAGGTTCATTCATGATCGTAACTTATGCTTATAATTGACTAGCAGTCGATAGAGAAGCTGAGAACTATTTTGGACTCTCAAATATACGCTTGTTGGGTGAAGAAATAGTATAAAGTGAATAATGCATCAGCAGTTTGCTCGGCTGCTTGGTCAAAGAGTTGCTAATTAAATCTTCGTAAGGTTGATTCGTCGGTCGGTCATTCGGATGGTAGTCGGTTATTTTGGTTGATTCAAAAGGCAGTCAGTTACATTTGGCAGGTTATTCCTTTTGATTACTTAAGCTAATTAGTCGACGTTAATTGTCAGTCATTTTTTGAGTCCGCAATTGAGTTGATATGTCTCTATTTGGTAACACAGCGGTCAAAATTGTGGCATGCGCAAAAGAGCAAAAACTTACGAGCTGCCTGCTACACAATGGGCAGCGGTAACTACCCAATTTTCAGAAATGAGAGATCCTCCACAGATGAAGCTGCCATATCGTTGTAATGCGATCTAAATGGCAAACAATCAAAATAATTAAGAATGAGTTTTAAAAAATTTCATGAAGGATACGATTCGCGCAGTTGAAGGGAATTCAGGGGACCCTGTCTGCAAGCTGGATAATATAAGCTTGATGAGAATCAACAAGACACGTTCAAACTTTTTAAGATTAAACAGTTTTCATTATTTTGTGGGATGAAGTCTCTGATCTCTAGAAGCAGAAACAAACAGCTTGTGAAGATTTGAACAGAGGCAATGACATCACACCTGCCATGGCCAAGCCCCAGGCTTCGCATCTTGACCTCCAATGACACGTGATTGAGGGATGGGCGTGAAGCCACATTGGAGTTGTCCTGTTGTGAAACAACAGTGTATTCTATTAATTCAGTCATCTTAAAGGAGCAGAAGGTTTTGTTGGAGAGAATCAAATATATCGCCGATCATGAGTTCTCGTAAACTTGAAAATCCTCGATCGAGTGAGGTCAATAACAAAAATTCATCAAAATAAGGCAATTTAATTTAAATAACTCTTCTAAAATCGTTTGGGAATCATCAATTTGACATCTATGAAGTAATTTATATATCAAGGATCATGATAAGAAGAAAAGTTGGAAACAAAGAACTTTGCAAACGAAGACTTTAGGAGCGAAGTGAGGTATTGCTAATACATAAAGTTCACCGCATTTTCTAACATGGTGAGAAGCTATAACCGATTCAGAGAAGGTCAGCATTAAGGCTTACCTGAAACAGACGTCCCCAACAGTAACAAAACTAAGAACATCATTTTGTGATGTTCAAAGACGAATGCAAAAGCTTTCTGGCTCACGGACATTTATTTCATTGGGTTAAAATGAATTTTAATCATTGAAGGCCATTAACAGATCAAACTTAACGCCTATGGTTAGAGAGAGCGGAAATTGAACAAATATTCGTTCTTTTTAATGGTATTCATTAACGCTACCCTACCCCTTTGTTTATCGTTAAAATTTGGCGAAGAGTAATTTTCTTTAATTTACCTACGTGCCGACAGGCACAGCTGTATGGTGGACCAAACAGAGCTCAATTAAGCTTCTACTTACACTTAATTGCCAACCTTTTCTGTCTCTAATTGTTGAAATAAGGAGGGAAAAAGTTTTCTTTAATACCCACATACACCGGCCTTACCAGCTGCTCACTAGATTAAATAGAATTGAGTTAAGTTGATTTTGTTAAATGACAGAGATGCTGGTTGTATACATTACGAGGAGTTTTTATATTGACAGCTGTGACTATTACACTTTCATTGTTATAACAAGTTGAAGTATGTTTGATTTTGAAAGCTGATTCTAAGTGCAATTTTAAACCTTTTCACCCTGGTATTTCTGTGAATTCAAAGTAAATAAAATTCAAATGCGCTTTTGTAAATGGTAAGCATTGCTTTACACCCATTTAATTATATCTGACCAGCTTCATAAATTCGGTTTTAGGACAGTAGTGGCCCGCTTTTTAGACGAGAAGTTATCTTATTTCATTATTTTGGTAGAATGCATTGTTCTGGCTGCGCAATATTAACAAGAAAAAAAGCAGTCATTTAATTTTTAATTTAATCAAAGCACAAACGCTAAAACCATAATGAGGAGGTTGAATTACTTCTCATAGTTGACAAAGGAAGCCAGGTCTTCTGTTCACAGGATAGACACAACAAGTCAGTCTGAAAAACCGTAGCTCTTCGATTTGTGATCTTCTCTAGATTTTAAAAATGAGATTCTTTTCCTGTTTCTTTGTTCCCTTGTTATACCAAATTGTACTTCAAATAAAACAGCAGCACTAGTCTAAGAGCTAATGCGTTTGTTCAACAAATTGGCATTGCAGTTTTTTATTTACGACCAAAGTGAGTGCAAATGTTATTGTGTAAGGAAAAAAAAGGGATCACTTTTAAGAGATAATTTATCATCTGTTAAGGTAAAAAATTAATTTCATGAGACAGAAGTAACTTCGGTAGAGGCAATAACTGATTAAACAAGTCTCTCGAATTACTCCTTCATCGGTAACCAAAAGAGAGCCTTTAGCGACAAGTGACTTTAAGCTATTCGCTAAACAAAAAGTCGTCTGTTGCCATTGTATGCGCGAATAGCGATTGGGTTTGCCAGCTGGAGTCTTTAAGAGACATATTCTGAATTTAAAATATTATCTTGCATAAAATCTTTCCCTGGTCAAAATTCATTTAAATTGTAAGCTTTCAACTTTCTGTCTTAGGCCTCTAAAACGTACCATGAATAGACGCGTGATGAGTCACGGTAATTTATAAATGCAAAGTGAGGGAAACTGTGTAATAAATGTCTACACTAAAATATGAAACATTTGCTCTGTGGTTAAGGAAAAGAGTGTCGTTTTGGCTACGACTTTAGGGTAGTCTTCTTCATTAGTGTTAATAGAACAGTGTGCAAGATGAATTTCAACCGTACTTACACCTCCATTAAACACAAAAAGGTGTAGTGATCTCTGTAATGCTGGGTCGTTTCTCAACGGTTCAGATAAACCACGCAAACTGACTGTTTTAGAAATCAGTAACAAACAGAATGTAGACCGAAATACCTCATAAGAGTGGAAATTAATGGTAAAAAGGGATTAACACTTGCAAGGTCGAAAAATCGTTCTAGCTCGTATTTTCAAGGCAAAAAAATATTGACAGCTTAATAACAGCATCAAATGGACCGATACTATAACAGACATGAAATTTCAAGTGGGGGTTAGAGCTCAGGTCACCGGCACCGCTTTAATCATTTAGCTGTCATTTTAATAATTGATCGCATCGTTTGCATTATGGGTGGGAATGTAAATAAGAAGTGGGAGGACCTGATGTTATGTTAACTTTCCTCAATCTATATCGAATGCTAATAACAAAGTGCTCCTCTTGTATTTTTACGGCTTGATGGCCATCCCTTTCATTTGCACAGCTGTGCCATTCTTATCAGGGCTCGCGATGATTTTCTAAGGTGTTTGATAAAATCCGAATATGAACTATTTCAAATCTCAGCAACAAATGCACAAGTGACACCTAAATTTTACAGAAATAAATTAAATGCTACTTTCACTACGTTAAGATGACATTATGAAGAGCTCGCTGAGAGTAAAATCTCCTGGAAGGAGGTACAGAAAACTGCGAAATATTGAGTGCGTCGGAAGTCCGTGGTTATTGCTCCACGCACCCAACCAGGTGCGAAGATGGCCTAACCTCACTGTGACGTTTCTAATCGGACACCTGACCTGAGTACCTTGAAGAATTGCGTATTCAGTGTTTCACTTCAGTCGTGGTATGGTTTGATTCAACTTGAATCCTTTTTCCGTCGAGGTGAAAAGGGCGGCTTTAGAAGGCAGAACTCGAAAACATCACTTTGTTTCATATGCCTTTTATTTCGAGCATATTACTTCTTGTTTCTAAAATAATTCTCCTATTCTGATGTCTAAATTTCTTGGTTTTGAGCCTGGCATAAAAGGCAGCCGCCCCGGCGGCAACTCAAAGATAAAGGACCTAGGCATTAAAATCTGAAACAGCACAAACGATAGAATAATGCTTTCACTTGTCAAACAAAACATATCAACGGAGTAAACAATCCAATAGCTAACCTACAGCTGCACTTGGTATTCATGGTATTAATTTGTTCTTCATATTGATTCATGAAAAAAGGCTACCTAATCACATACCGTGAAGAGAAGATTTCTAATTTGTATTGGTTTTCCTCAAAATTCCTTCGCGTACAAGCATCAGGATTTAAGCCAACGAAAACTTGTGACGAAATTTGACCAGGATTTCCCTTAATTACTAACACCACAAACAGGGTTGAGGATACTGGGGGTTACAAACGGTTTCAACAAAAATGATTGGGAATCAAATCCGGCTGTTTGAAGGGTACAGAACGCTATCCATCGGATAAATCTCTATGACTATGCAGTGGATAGCGAAGTTCGTTTAGTTAAATCCGTTGGATAGCGATTTATCCGCTGGATAGCGATTTATCCACTGGATAGCGATTTATCCGCTGGATAGCGGTTTATCCGCTGGATATGTTATCAGCCTGTGAAAAACTGGGCCCTCAAATAAAGGCCAGATGTAAAACTTAAAACCGGAGCTAGCTTCCCTAAGTGAAAGGGATCCATGCATTGTTGAAACTGGATGAAGATATTTCGAATTAACCTTAGGCTTCAAGTTCAGATCGAGAGTCTAGTTGGAATCAACGTAACATTTGCGTTGTTTAAGCAATTTTATAGCCCTTTCCTTTATCTTTGTGCGCAGTTTACAACGTGCGGTTGAGGAAAAATTCTTTGGCTAAGCCACAGGTAGGATTCACACACATCGGGCAACGAAGAGGAAGCTGGCGAGAACAATTGACTCCTGAATCCAAATGAGCTTTTACAACATCAGCCATCGCCTGCAAAGAAAAATAAGAGACATTCAATGATTGCCGTAATACTGTAAGGCCACGCTAAAATATCGGATTTCTTTCGTGATACACTCGTTCAAAAAACTCCAAACATTTTGAGTTGAACCTCTCCATAACTTTGGGACAGACGAAAGTGATGTAAATGATGACTGAATGATTTTAACACTTTGACTTAAACAATTCATACAACACAATTTAAATATATCAATGGCTGCGAAACTGGCATGTTCTTGGAAGAATTATCAACAAAAAGAGAAAGAACAAGAGTTTTTATCAGATCTCACAACGTGGAAGGACAGATAGAGGTTGATCAATCACTCGAAAAGAAAAAAAATTAAAAAATAGTAGAAAACAAAACGAAACATGGTATCAATCAACGCACTAACCTTGATAAAAGTTGGACTATCATTCAGTGAAGCTGCTCTTCGGATATTCTCGATACCAACCTATAAGATCCAGAATCATATCATAAGAGTAAATTCAATCTTTCTCCGCCTGCGTGAGTACGATATAGATTACCTTGGACACTAAAAAGAATAGTCCGCTTTGATTAAGTTAACTTAAACATGTTTATATTGGTTTTTTAGGGAACATCACTTAGTCGCTGAAATAAGGGCCTGGTAAAATTTCTGTCAAAGAGACAAATGATTTTCATAAACATTTTCAGTGGAAAAGGACTAATAACCGTTGCGACATGTCTCAACAGCGTGTGTCATCGATTTGTTTCGAAAGCTGCAAACTCATGACGGCTTTCCGAGTAAACCCGTCGCTGAAAAGTCGGAGAAGGATGTGGCACTCAAAATTCTAAAACCTTTACGCTCAAATCGCTCGCCCGTTGAAATGCCATGCTTTACCGCTCGTGCCGCAACGAAAAGAACAATGTACTCCCTTTAACAAAAGGCTTTATTTACCCTTGGCACCAGAATAGTGAACATTACCTCGTGTGCCACCTCCTCTGCATACTCTATATCCAGCTCATGAAGTGTCTCAATATGGTCAGAGGTGAAAGCGATGGGAACCAGAAGGATGTTCTTTTTCCCTTTCTTTGCGAGGCCCTTAATGGAATCTTCTGTCTGAGGACCCAACCATGGCATGGGACCTACCTGCAGAAAAATAATAATCAGGATTAAAGAAAAAGGATAACTATTGCAACTTGTTTTGACAGTAACTTTTCGTACATCAAGTGCGAACAATATCAAACGCATTGCAAAGATGTTACGGTGCTTTTCAAACATGTAATTCTGTCAACTTTCAAAATCTAAGAGCCCTATAATCCAACATAACAACGCAGCTGTCTTAAATTAGCAAATTCAAGCCTGCAGAAGGTCAAATAGGACCACTAAGCTAATTGTATTATCCACAAGAGGCACTCGCCTTTGACTGCCAAACAAGTCTGTACGGATGGGAGTAGTTTAATGATTCCATCACCCTCTGTACTGTAGCAGCAACTTCTTGAGGATATGGGTCACCTCTATCCACAACCTGCAACACAAAAGAGATTCTGGTCAGTGTAGTGATTACTAAAGTGATCATTACCATCATCATTATTTGTACTATTATTATCATTGTTATTAGTATTACTATTATTATTATTATTATTATTATTATTATCGATTTATATAGCTTCCTGACTAACTGACCAATTCATTTACACAAGCCAAACTCATAAAACTTGACTGACAAGTCAACTTCTCACATGACCCTGATGATGAATTCTAACATTCTTGGCCAATTGACTACTCAAGAGGAATGAAGTGACAGAATACAACATGCCCAACACTAGCGAATATTTGGTGATATTATGAAAGTGCCATTCCCCAATTTGTATTCTTGACTTCAATAAGAAGAGATTTCTTGTTCAAAATTTGAGTTGGTCTAAGGGTTTTGTAACAAAAGGTCTTGAAAGCAGCAGATACGTAACAAATTTAAGAAAATAAATGACACTTTCTTTGTTTCGAGAGTTCATCTGTCATCTTCAGTTCTGATATTGCAAAGTACAAAGTTGAATTTAAAGTGTGTGTTGTTGTCAATACAAAAGAAATGAGAGCTTGTTTGCTCAAAAAGTTGCAGAAAGACTGAAAAATCAGCTCAAGGAAAACTGCGAGTTTCAGAGACTTAAACTGTATTGTACGTAGGGATTTGAAAATTTTGAGTATTACACAATATAACTAGATATTCCCCAGTTTTAGCAGCAGCATATTCAGTCATGCAACAAGTTGATAACAATCATGTGTGAACAAAAATATTGGAAGGATTACAAAATTGTATAAAATTGTCCTTGTGTATTATCTGTTCCTTGTAGCTAACCCTTCAAACAAGCCACACTCATTAAAATCCATTATCTTCTCACAACAAGAATTGCCCATGACAAATACCTGAGAAAATGTACTATAACTTAAATGAAATATCTAGGATATTATTTATATATACCGATATAGACATTTCAGGAACCAAAAACCACTTTGACATGGTTGTAATGTATTGTAATTTAATTTTTGAAATCATTTGATATGTACTTGTTTCAAAACCAATTAATTTAACTTACAATGTAGCTTGGACATAAAAATATTAGATTAACTTAGCCACAACATACCTTCATTGGAAGAGAGTGTGCAGAAAACAGAATAACCACTTCATTTTGAACATCAGCAGGAAACTTTGCTAACTCAGCTCGGACATTTTCTGCAAAGGCCTTCAACAAAGAAGCAAATCACAACAACAACAAACTCTTTAATCCCAAATCATTAAAAATTGCCATGAATAACAAACAATGAAAAGAAAAAATCAACCCAAAAAAGTATTTAATTACCATGAAAAGCTACTAAAACATTCCAATAATTGAATAACACAGTGAAACTCAACAAATCAATCTGGAGAAGCAAGATGTGGTAACACGTGAGAAGAATCCCACAAATACCTGAACAAGCCCTGGATGAGTAGGCCATCTGTCTATGACACTCCATTTGATTCCAGGCTTTTCTCCCTTTTGCTTGTAATGTCTGTAGATTGCATTTAAACTGCTTCCAGTGGTAGAACAGGAGTACTGAGGATACTGAGTGAATGCCACAGCTCTTTCTATTCCATCACTGATTAAATCGAGAGAACAGGACAGGACAAGAATTTGACATGTGCCCAAAAGGCTACCTCCAGGGTTGGGTAAAATTATCTACCTGCTCACTTTTGTATTTTTCATGTTTCCAATGAAGGAATTTCTTTTGCCAAAATCTTACTCCCTTGTAGGATATATGCACTTTAGAGGCCAAATGATTGTATATATACAGTAAAATATAATTTCGGGACTTATTATTTTTTGGTAAGTTCTTCAATTTTCCCTCTCCTAGAAAAAGTGTTTAGTTCCACTGATAAATGCTTAAGATATGTAATTGTTCGAGAGATGGATCATTGTGTGCAATAAAAACATTCCAAAACTGAACTACCTTTCCATCTGATCCAAAGTGTCCTCGGTTAAAGGTTTCACATAACGGAATCCAATGTAAAACTTGTGAGGAGCTGAATAAGAAGATACATACATGTACATGTAATAGTTACTTCTGTAAATTAAGGGTTTACTGTTCTTTATCTAATAATATACATGAAAAAATGACATGCTTCTGATTGGCTGGAGGCAAGATGAGTGCAAATTTGTAACAGGTGCAAAGTTGTAACAAGAGTGCAAATAATTTCATCTGTATCGACTTTCTGTGATTTTTTAATGTAAATTATTTAAATACATGATTTTTCATGTAATTAAGTGTAGATAAACACTTGTAGATTTTTTAAGACTACAATTTGCACTCAGCCTATGAGCAAAAATTCAAACTTTGAAAATTTTATAAATGCAGAAAGGATTTGAATCACAACATACTTTTCATGAAACATGATCATACACCTGTACACATACCTGAATCAGGGCACATGTCATCAAGCAGTTTTATCATTCCCTCTCCTTGCTTTTCTGTCCACATTTTGATAGGAGAGCCACCACCAATCTTTTGATACTGCTCCTGGATTTTAGGGGTTCTTCTTCTAGCAATCCATTGAGCCATTTTACTGTGTATGATATAGGAATGTTGTAAGTAAACTGTCAAAAATAGATATGTGGATTTGTGCCTGTAAAGGATACGTGTACTACTCTATTTTCTCAAAGTGCTGCATGTTTATCCCTTTCACCAGTAAGATCTCATTATTAATTCTCCTTACTGTCTGCCATTCAATTCTTCTTATGCTAGTTTGGAAAATTTGGTGTTCAATCAACTAGAAATCCCCTAATTGCTCTGTGTCTTTGATCTCATCACCTGTCTGCTAGATATTGTCAGGAAAAATTCTGTCTTTGTCACTCATGAGAGCTTCAGAGAGCTATTGTAACAATTTAAAAACTAACAGAAATACTTAAAACAGAGAGAGAAAAAACAACTACTAACAGTAACTATTCACATTTCATCATAATTCTAAGTTATAATATATTTCTTTCATTACTTACTCAAATGTATCTATTTAGTCATTTTTTTCTTATTACATGCACTACTGTTTGCTAAACAGATGTTTAAAACTTAACTAACTAGACCAAAAGATTGCTTTACAAACCTTTGAGCAGGTAAAACCATAAGGTCACGATCAGAAAAAAGTCGCAAGAGAAAATCATGAACCTCATTTGTTGTCTCTGGGCCACCCATATTCAGAAGCATTATTCCTGTTTTTGGTTTCAAGTTGGCTTGCTCAGAACTATCCAAAACATAGTAAATTGCACATTTAAGATACAAATTATTAATAACGAGAATGAGTGAAAAAGGATGCAGATCAAGTCAGAATTAAGAATTAAGATGGCCTGGAATTTCAAACTCTTAAAGGATATCCAGTACCACTCCCCCCACCCTCCTCTCAAAAAAGGTTGACCTGAAATAAAATATAGCCCCCTTAAAATCACAGGAAAATTCTGAACTATTATACACATACCAAAACAATTCATTACACAAGAATATAAAGAGGTTAATATCAAATGGAAGAATTTGTGTTGGAAAAAATTTTATATCATACCACATTCCTCTCAAAGACACATTCAGGCTGTAACCAAGGTTGATTTAAAAGACCATTACCGAGTGCCCAATGCCACCATTCAAAAAAACCCCATAAATGTAAAGATGATAGTATGAATATCTGCTTTATTTCTTATCCAGTAATTTTTTTACTCACAGTCATTTTGCACCCAGTGGTTTCAAACCCAACTTCAGTTGCCTTGTAGTCAGCTTGAGTCAGTTCTCACTCAAACTGCTGGTCAACTCAGACCCATCCCAATATACCATCATTCAAAATCAGCAAATGTTGATTGTTGTGTACAACAAGCATACCACAAGTTAGAAGAGTCAAGCATTTGAGATATAAGGAAAATTCTGTTGTGTATACTTGAGACTTTTTTCAACAAAAACACTAAATCACTGTCTAGCACAAGGTATGTGAGTTTTCATTGAACAGTCCCAGTTTCTACTCTTGACTTCCCTAACGATGACAGCTAGTGAAAGTGTGATCCTTTTTTTCTCCCTTAGTTTTAAACCATACAAAATTTGTTTATTCTTGTTTATTCGTTTGTTCTATTCTCACTTTAAACATACTGAACACAGAAAACATACTTTATTAGAGTAGGCATGAGACAACTCAACTGACAAGGCACGAGTCGACCAAATTGGAAACAACGGTCGGTACGAAACGACTGTAACCAATTAAACTTTTCTTTATAGGATAGGTTTCATACTTAGCGACAGTTTAAAAGTGACTGCATCTAAACTGAGATTAGAATAAGCCTTATGGTGTTCGGGGAATCATTCGTTAACGTAGTAAGTGTCAAGTTTGAATCATGGTCCTGGTTTAAAAGTTTGAATTCATTTTGACGGAAAAAAAAAATTCCGCTGCAATTATCGAAACGCTTTTTCGCCCGGAGGCCTTAAAGAATTTTTCCTTCTAAACATACCGAATGGAGAAAGTAGCGTCACGGAAGATCTCTTACGTAATCATAGCCATGCAACGTTCAAATCAATTATCGCAATTTCACTTTACTATCAAATTTAATACCAACGGCTTATTCCAGAAATTACCTTTCATCCATCTGCTGGGCTACTCCAAGACATGAAAGTCGAGACGAACTACTAAAGTTACAACTTTGCGGTGCGAAAAGGGAACGGTTGATCGAGCCGACATGGGTCCGTGTCTGCGTCGAAATACGCAAAGGCGACAAGTAATCTGCAAACGAGAATAGAGATTATGTAGTCATAATCTTAACGTGTGATCTTTCTAGATATCATTAGTGATAACTTACTACAGTTTACTTGAAGTTTACAAAGGTTTCGAAGAGCCATTTTGTTTGCCAGTCCAATACAATCGGGAACTCACAGGCGCAAAGATTTTGAGTGGAAACTGGTAACTATATCCAGTTACTACGTCATATACGGCATTTGTTATGTACCTTATCATCGGAGTAGATGTGAAAATGGCCAAAAAAAGGCTTAGCTTTCATGTAAATGTAGGAAGGGTAACGCCGTTTCTGAAAGGTGCTAGGCAGCATGACTTTGTTAAAGAAACTACATATTGAAGGAAAAATTTGGCAGATCACAGAATCTATACAAAATGTTGGGAGAGTAGCCGAAACAAAATATCACAGCAAAGATGTATAGATGTTAGTTAGGATGTTCGTGATGGCGGCCATTTGAAGACATATGTCATCAATCGCAACAGAGAAAAATACGGTTTGCACTCGCTAACAAAGTGTCACGTTATCTCCTACAAAATAAGATCTATGTAAATTCTGAACGCTTTAGCCGCTAGAGGTTCATTTTTGAGGTAAATAGAAGTAAATAAATTTTGTGAAAATCAAGACAGGCCAGTTTGATTCAAGAATTCAGTAACCCACCGGCACCATCTTGAAATACTGGTAAAATCTATGCATGATGTAACACAACAAGCCGACTTTCGATTAGAAAGAGCAGATTAACGAAATTGAAAAAGAATGATGAAATGACCGCTGGTTTACACAAGACTGCGAGTTTTTGAGTCTAGCCGCATTCTCAGTTAAGCAAACTGTTAAGGTTTACTACACACTATTTCTCTGTGGGAAACATATAACAGACTGGTTATGGTAAATTTTCAACAGTCCTTGTCTGTAAGACCAACAAAACGAAGCCAATAAAAAAATAAGATAAAAAAAAACGAGTAAAAGATAGACCAAAATGGAGGAAAACCCAAAGACAACCCTGCTGTTACCGAAACTCGGCCTCACCAACCACACTTAGGGCGTTTTCCTTCACACTTCTTTGTTTCTTGAAAAACGTAAATTGTGCTATAAAAATGTAGGCTGAATATGTCCGGCTTGTAAAGTTGTTAGGATAGAGAATTTTTGATAGGGGTTCAAGTTGGACGTAACGCTGGAAAACTACACATTCCCATCTTTTATGTGGAATGCCATTTTGTAAGAACGAACCTGTTATAATGAAATTTTTTCAGATCCGGAGTGCAACTGTCTTCAAGGGGCTAGAAACAATAAGGCAACACTTCCAGTTTTTCTTAAGTCGTTGATTTTTGTTACGTTACGTAAGCCTTGCCTTAAAATCTGTGAACTTTTAAAAACAGAGCGTGAGTCTAAAGGGTAATTATCTATTGTTTTGCCTTCTTTCATCAAGGGACCGTGTACCTCGTGATGTATGGGACTATAAATGTTGTCGGTGTTAAGAAAGTTTGAGGAGTAGGAACCGATCTCAGCGCGTTGAAACCAAGGAAAGAACCAAATTAATGCTGAAGAATTGAGACAGTTTTCTTCGCTGATGGTTCTCTAGCAGAGGTTTGACAATTTTCTTGGTTATTCTTTGTTTGTTTTCTTCAAGTATTGCAAAGTAAGAAAGTGAAAGCTTTAACCATGCAAATTTGATATAATATTCTGATGACCTACATATCGGCAAACTCATTAGATTTCGAAAGTTTGATTGAAGGTTAAAACTAGAGGATATTCATATTTCTGATTTTATATCTCTGATTTTCAACAATACGGACACTAGACAAAACACGCAAAAGTTTGCGTAAGGGAGGTAAGGAAGGGGAAGGAATTTGCACTAGGGATTAACGCGAAGCGATCGAGCCTGTGATCGTTAGGCGCTTGCGAAATTGTGGCTTCTGATACCATTTAAAATTGCTGTACCTAGACTGAAAATCATAAAACTTCGACTCTAAGGCGAATTATGTCTTGGCGAAAACGACTTCTTCGGATACAAAAGAAAAACGCGTCTCTCGCCGTTTGAGTGAAGTCCCCTATAAACTTTATATTTTTATCAATAAGTGTAGTCAGGACTTAACTAATACGACAATTTTTTTGTGTTTATTCTAAATCAAACGTTCCACGAATATGATATAAATTGAATATACTTAGATCTAGAACCATTATGAGTTTTATCGATACTTAAATTATCACAGTTGTTCGATAACATTGTTGACAAAGTTAAACTTTCAAGTACGAGTTGTAACATGCCTTGACGATTAGCAAGGTCAAGTGTATTTGATTATTGTACAAGTTAGAACTGAATTTAGCTTTTCACATAACAATTATTCAATTAGAATAAGAATCGAAAGAACTAGAATTTCATTCCATGAGGCAAGGCTGAACTTATTGAATCAGAATTACTGTATTTATGAATACAGATAATGTCCATATTCACTGTGCAATAGGAAGAGGAATATTATAACTACGAATAAAATACAAACCATTTGGAAAGGAAAACATGCAAAATATTTTAATATTCGATTCCTCCTGGGAAATCAGAATTTATTTGTCCCACGCTCGTGACAAGACGAAAAAAAAATCTTTCTCTATTTCTTTACCGTGCTCAAAACTTACCATCTCTCTTATTTCTATCTACAAACAATACGTTGTCGACATTGCTGATCCAGCAGTATGCAAGACGCGTGTCATATGAACTTCGTAATAGACCTCACTCACCGTGGACTCTCTGTGGCTCAGTGGTAGAGCATTGAAGCGCGGAATCCGACCGTCTGAGGTTTGATTCCTCGGGGCGGCTCAGAATTTTTTCTTTGTCCCACCCTCGTGACAAGACAAAAAACATCTTTCTCTATCGTGCAGCATGTTGGAATAACTTGTCTGTTGATTCAAATAAAACCAGAGTAATTGACAAAGGAAACTTTCGAGGTGGCAAAATCTTAAGCGTGTTACCCTTTTTGCATGGGACGACCTCCTACACCAATTACTCCCACATTCATACCACATACCTCAGAGGATTGTTAACGCGTTTACGTGTTTAAGCGAATGATCCGCGAATTGAATAGAGTATTTACTAACATTGAATGTCGATGATAGAGGAGTTATTAAGACCATGTTATCTTTTATAGACATAAGAATACACCTAATTGACTCTGACGGCTGTGATATCATTTTGCAAATCGGCAATTTAAACAATATGAACCCAATTTAAACAATATGAACAATATGGAAAAGAAAATAAAAATGCTCAGAATCTAAGTCAAGAAACTGAAAAAAACTGTAAATTAAAACAGAGCTGCTACCTGAATATTTCACTGAAATCTTTGTGGTGAATGCATGTAACTGTTCTCAATATTTTAATCAATAGGGATTGATAATGGCATTTCTTAGTTTTAATTTCAGCCAATTTGTTTCCATAGCTCTTCCAAAATCCACATATCTTCTCCAGCTTAGCTCAGAGGAAATGCGAAATAGGTATCTGTACTCGCGCGAGATAACTGTTCAGTCATTCGGCGAAGATCAAAAGAAAACGAAAGAGGAAAGCTGCTATTTTCAATATCTTTTTAGTGTTAATTGCATATAAACATGAACTAAATAGCTGAAGTCGCCGGTGTTTGTGAGGTTTTCTAACAAAGTAATTACCTTCATTACCATGAAGCACAGTCGGAAGTATTTACTCTCCAGACAGCTGTGATTTATATTTCAGACAGCTGCAACTTTTAAGTTTACACAGGGTAAATTTCGAAGGTGTAGGATTCATCATAAAAGGAGCCAAGAACTCTTGACAATCACATCTTTTCAGCAAGATGAGGGTATTCGCTGTCTTGTGCTGTTTGATTGCTGGGGAAGTTTTATCTTCAAGACCAAATCCGGAAGGTAAATCAGTAACCATTTTATGTTAGTCTTCTCCTTTTTATTATTTATTTTAGAAACTTTTACCAGTGATCGCTTTACACTGCGAGTTAAATTTATTTCCTAATCGGAAACACACAAATACTCTCGAGAAAGAAACATTTTGCCATTCCTCTCATACAAGCTCAAACTTGAACCTGACTTTTTAATCATAATTTCAATCCTTGGGAATTTTTGCTATCCGAGATTTTTGCCCTTCCCTGGTCCCTTCACAACCCTGAGCGATGTCGAAAGAACAATTCCATTTTCACAGCAGTTGTATTCTCGAAATAGTAGGCAGGGTACTGGAGTTGTCGAAATATCTCTTTGTAAGTCAAACTTTAAATATTTTTATCCCAAGGCAAAAATTAGTTCTCAATAAGATCAACGTAACTTCTTGAGCATTTCTTTGCAGAAAATCATGGTATAGGTCGGACCAGAAAAAGACTCATCGATGGTGACATAAAATTGACTAAAAATCAAAGAGCTGTTATGAATGGAAAAGCTAGAGGATCGATAAAGAACAACAGATGGCCTAACGGAGTTCTGGTGTACGAGATCACAAGTTCCCTTTGTAAGTCCCATTTGAAAACTTCTAGAAAATGTGTCAAGTCACTTTTCTGCGTGATATACAAACCATACTTGTTTATTTGATCCTGTGAAAAGTAGATCGGGTTTTTCGGCCCAAAGGATTTATAAAAACATGATATTTGAGGGGAGCATCTTTAGATTTTAAGTTTTTAAAATACCGAAAGGTAGATAGGCGAGAAGAAAATGCAGAGTTTCGAGCATATAACTTTTACGTTTATGTAGTTGCTCACGCGAGTATGCTTGTGACGAAAGTCATCCTATCGCTGTTTTTCCAGACTCAGTTTTCGAGAGAATGGCACTGAAGTAAAATTGTTCCTAAGATGACCTCGTAAAGGAAAAGCATTGACGTCTCTGTGCTGATAGTTTTTCTCGTAGAGTGAGCGAAACTCCGTAACCAGTTATTGTAACAGAAAAATTTCCCCCTTCTTTTGATCAGCATCTCAGGGGAGAGCCATGCAAGTCATAAATCAGGCATTTGCTGATTACACCAAGAACACGTGCATCAAGTTTAAGAAGAGGAACACTGAAACTAGCTACGTTTCCTTCTTCAGGGGATCAGGGTAAAGTTTAACATTACGCCAAAAAATTCCTAAGTTTCTTTTTCCACCATCGTCAACTTGTGAAAATTTTGCTGCGATTTTAAATCATTAACTCTTTCTTCAGTTGCTGGTCTTATGTTGGAAGAACTGGTAGAAAGCAACAATTATCTCTTGCCTCCGGATGTTGGCACAAGGGAATAGTTGTACACGAAATAGGTGAGTTTCGCCCCCCCCCCCCCCACACCTCACCCCTGACAAAAAAAATAAACAACTGAATTCAAAGCCATGTTCAACAAAAAGACAGCATTTTACTAAACGAAAATAATCTGTCCTATCCGTTCAGTAATACTTTTAATCCAAAGATCCAAGAACTGGTTAAGCTTGATTTCCGCAGCCTCCTTGAACGAACATGTTTCCAACAAGATTAGCTGAAAAGTTAATCTCGATGCTTTATCGGCTCTGTAGGCCTGGTGCCCACAGCGATCAAGCTACCACGGAACTGAAAAAGACTCTTTCATTTTGAACCTCCAAAACTACACTTTGTCAGTATGGACAAGAGAGAAAGCCGGGACCAGATTTATTATAAAAGAGAGCATTCGAGGGATGGGTAAGAGGGGTGGGGAAAATGACACTAGGAAAGGAAGTACAAACTTTCATTATGGTTCAACCGCTTTAACTTGAGTCTGAGTGTAACAATCTTTCTTTTTGATACTTTCTGCGTTGAAGTTAAACGGGTTAACCAATTTTATTCTGATTTGTTTCGTACAGGGCATGCCTTGGGCTGGTTTCACGAACAATCACGACCTGACAGAGATAACTTCGTAACCATCAGATATCAAAACATTAAAGATTGTGAGTATTTGGGTTTCTGAAAAAGGAGTAAAGAATGATCAGGGGTGGAAGATATGAACAAGGATTGCAAATCATATTTGAGTTACACTTTGGTTCGATTGAAATAGCTGTAACAGTAAAATGAAATGTGCGAAATCTTACATACGGAGACCCAGGTCAGTAAAAACGCTAAAACAAACTTGTGTAGGCAACCACGCTTGGTAAGGCTGGAAAAGGTTAACTCAGGATGCAAATAACAATTTAAAGTTTTATGCCCGCAGTTTTCAGGGTGTACGTAGCTCCTTTAGTGAATCAGCTTTATCGATATCAAACCATTCTTAAAGATTGCTTACGATTCAAGCTAACTCGAGCCAAAGCGTTTCGCAAATTTTAACTCGAGTAGCAAAACAAAAACAAACAAAAATCAAATGCCCAAGAAGAAAGTATAATTTAAGTAACAGACTGAGGACAAACATTTCATGAGTAATTAAATAAAATACCTCATCGAAGACTAATTTTTTCTCTCCGACAGCTGCCAAAAACAATTTTAAGAAATACACATCAAGCGTCATCGATACATTGGGGACCCCTTATGATTATGGATCTGTGATGCATTACGGAGCAAAATACTTCTCCAAGAATGGTCAACCTACAATAGTGCCCAAGAGATCAGGGGTATGTAAAACATTCATACCTAATCATACTTCTCATTGAAAATCGTTTAAATTAGAAAGTTACTATTCCTCTTTTCTGTAACTAGTAAACTGAACATGCTCGAACTTCAAAAATTAATCATGAACTTATAAATAAGCCATCAGGACTGAGGAGAGCTCGTCATTTCTGTCGCGGTCTCGTTGGCAAGATCCTTGTATTCTATCCAGAGAATTTGACGCCGACCCTCTCACTGATCTCGTAAAGCTCTATTTTTACTCTATTAAATTTTGAGGTTTCGTTTTATCAGTTGTGAACCGTAATAATTCGATTTAGCACCCTCCTTCCAACAAGCGCCCCTATTCTGTTTCGGTGATAGAACTGCTTTAGCCTCGTTCTAAAACCTGTGGTCTACGTCTCAGTCTCTCAACATCTATGACAAACTTTTAAATTCTAGGTAACAATCGGTCAGCGTAATGGACTCAGTCCAATTGACATTCGACAAATGAACTTGATGTACAAATGTTCAGGAGGACCTGGTAATGAGATAAATATACTTGATAACATAAAGTACAAAAAGCTGACCTTTTGATGTGTTTTCATGTCACTTATTGCTGTTAGTGCTATCCATACCATTACCACTTTGTAAAGTTATGTTTTAATTCGTGTTAGAATATTTCTTACCATTAACGATAGAAATATGATTTCAGCAAATGCCTTTATATACTTTTTTTTTCTTCAAAAGGCCCAACGACACCTGCCACCGCTTCTCCTCCTCCTCCATCTTCAGGTTGTATAAATTCTGTGATATTTACTCAATCTATTTGTGTTACGGAAAGCACAGAAAGTCAAGAAACATAATCTACCATTCTCGTATAATTCCTGCTTAATTTTTCAAAACCCTTGCAAAACATTTAAACAACGATAAACCCCAACACCCATTAAGAAACGAGTACCTCGTAAGAAGTTATACTTTTTTCGCTATGTTTTCACACACTCGGTTTTCATATAATCTTTGCTAGAGTAAATAATATTTAGAGAAAAAGATTTCATTTTTAAATTCCTATGCAGCATCCTCTTGTAACTTTGAAAGTGGTATGTGTTCTGGCTGGACTCAGGATAAGTCAGATAATTTTGACTGGACGTCGAGATCTGGTTCCACTCCATCGGCCAACACTGGCCCATCTTCGGGCCACGGAGGTTCAGGTATGTGTTGGAAGAATTATTTTTAAAGCCTTTCTTTACAATGAACAGGAGACCATTATCACTAAGATAGAGTCGAAGAGATTTTTCGCTGGAATCATTATTTGCATTTTATCCTAGCATTGCATTTAAATTCCACCTTCTGTTCCTACTTTATGACCAAAAATCACATAAATCTCGTATTTAAAGAGATAACGGGTAGAACAAGTACGGAAGACAGATTTTTGCGGTCTTTATTTTTGAGCGCAACCGAGCTTGAATAAAAGTAGTTCGAAGTTAGTTATACAAAAGTGACGCAGGTACCGAGCTTACAAATTTCTGTAAGCGAAAAAAAAACTAGAAACAACTCTAGATGCGGAATTTAGTTCAAAATTCTTCGCCTTTGAAAAATATTATTTTTCTCTTGCAGCGATTAGCTGAGAGGTAAAGCTTGAGTTAAGGATGTGAATCCTCCCCCTTTTGCATGGTGATAAATTTCCTGCCTATCAGAGCTTGTGTTCATTACTATTTCCTGAAAAGTCTTAAACCTAACGCCAGAAAATCTTGATTGGTCCAAGGTGTGCTTAGCTTACTCGAACAAAAAAATTATACAGCATTAATTAAGTAAATGAAAAGCTCCTCAGTACTAACTTGATATCGTTTTGAGTTAAATCATTACTGCGCAAAGCATTTTGCTTGACTAATAATCTGTGGTAAATGTTCGAAAATATTGTGGTATCGCCATTTAGTTGTATGGTTACCACCTGCAGCTGGTAAATTTCATGTCGAAACAACTTTTTATTTTCATCTTCAGGGAAGTATATGTACATTGAAACTTCATCTCCAAGAGTAAACGGAGACAAAGCAAGACTTAGATTTACGGGTTCTGATAGCGGCGCGTTTTGTCTGAAGTTCTTTTATCACATGTTTGGAAAGTCGGTGGGAACTCTAAACGTCTACAGCGGAAGTAAAAATGTCTTTACCAAGTCGGGTAGCCAGGGAAATAAGTGGATAGAGGCGAAGGTTCCTATCTCTTCAAGTGGACGAGTAAGTCTTTTTTGATAACAATTTCTTACTTTAAGATTGCAATCATAGTTTCAGACTCATCTATCTTCAACTTTTTTCATGAAAATCTTGACTGTAGGCCCGAAATCGCCGTGTGCCTAGAGGGCTGTTGTATAATAACAAAGCTTGATCAAATTTTTGTAAAACAAACGAAAAAGCGCAGAATGGTTCAATCAAAGAATTGGTGTCCAAATCTTTCTTCCCGATTGTGCAGTGAGCAAACTGATTATCTTCTTTCAGGTTCAAGTGACATTTGAGGGAGTCAGAGGGAGGTCTTGGTCAGGAGATATAGCTATTGATGACGTAACCATAGCGAAAGGAGGTTGTTTCGCCCCACCCACTCCCGCTCCACCCACTCCTCCTCCGCCTCCAGGTACCTTTCATTTTAAGATAACTGAATCACAATGCGTAATTTTAACTGACCTCCGTATAAAAATATTACATGGATACTGCATCTAAATGACCTGGCTTTATTTAAATACCTATTCTCGAGACACTTTTACGGCAGACAAAACTTCTCCACAGTTTTTGATTGATAGTCAAATTTACTATTTTTGTGTGTTTTTCTCATTCTGCAGTTATCACCTGAATCGGTTTCAATTTTGTTCAATATTTTTCTGCGCGCTGCATGTGATCTCCGCAAGGTGAAGTTGCATTCAGCCTTGCAATAACCAGCTACATACTTTACTGCTGAGTGAAGTCAATAATTAACAACAAAACCAAACCCAAGCATTTGAAAAGCAGTTGATGCGCGTCACAACAAATCGAATTTATTTGTCATAATTTGATCAAGAAACAAGCATCCATCCTAGCTGCTATTGAAGTGCTGTCCGTTTGTTTGTTGTCTAGCCGGTAATTGTGGATCCCGACCAAGTGTTCGAATCGTTGGTGGCACAGTAGCACCCAGAAACAGCTGGCCTTGGCAAGTAATGCTGCTGACCACATCCAATCAGCAGTTTTGTGGAGGCTCACTGATTGACCCTTTGTGGGTGGTAACAGCAGCGCATTGTGTTACTCGGAAATCGCCCCGTAGTGTTAGAGTCAGGTTGGTATTCGTTGCTCAAGAACTGTAGCGAAATTATTCTTTAGAACAGCAAACTTATCGTCCATACAAAATCAGACAATTGTGCTAATTCAACTCGCTCTGAAATGGGTTGAGTTGTTTGTGTCACTCTTATGCAAGATTTCATTTAGATGTGAGTCTTGATGTGAACTCAGCGAGATAGTGAAAAAAAAAACCTAGAAAAATAATTATTTCAAATACATGCTTCTGATAACGACTTGGCAGATCAAAAAAAGTTTTTGTATTTTGCGTCTAGGCGTCGATCAACGATATCTGCCATAACATACAAATGATGTTACATTGCAGTGCAATAAAAAGACGAACAAACAAACAAGAAAACCAAATCAAACAGATACAAATTTGAAATACAGCTTGTAGCGGGGAAATGTTTTGTCAATTTATGCTATCTTTTCATCAAACGTAGAGTGGGAGCTCATTTCAGGACATCACAATTAGTTGGAACAGAACAGAATATCAACGTTGCCCAGATCATTTCCCACGAGAATTATAGAAAACCAAAGTCCTTCAGCAATGACGTAGCTCTCCTAAAACTGGCTAAACCCGCTGTACTTGGTCGAGGAGTTGGGCTCGTCTGTTTATCAAATCCAAGCAATGTTCTTCCCATTGACAAAAGTAAGCACTGCTGGATAACTGGATGGGGGACTCTGAAATCCGGTGGCAGTCAACCCAAGGAACTCATGCAAGCCAGCGTCCCACTTGTATCAAAAGCGCGTTGCTTGAGAGCCTATCCTGGCAAGATAGACGACACCATGTTGTGCGCAGGTCTGGACCAAGGCGGGGTGGATGCTTGTCAAGGCGACAGTGGTGGGCCGCTCGTCTGCGAGTTCAATGGCAGATGGTTTTTGGAGGGAGCCACAAGCTGGGGTTATGGCTGCGCCAGGCCTAACAAGTATGGAGTGTACGCTAGCATTGCCCATCTGAGGTCATGGATAACCAACAAGGCAGGCCTTTCACAACCCAGCCCACCTCCACCAGTGACTCCACCGCCGTCCACCCCGGCTCCACCAACAGCAAAACCACCCCCACCTCCAAGTAAGATTTTTACGTCAAATAATTACATCTTATCTTACCGCAAATTTTATTTCAAAAAATTTTTTCAAGAGAAAAACATGCATAGTTTATAATTCTCTTCATCTTCCACGTAAATGTTTATGTGCTACTTTTCACGCCTTGAAAATGAAGCGGTAAACTGTGAAATCATTCAGCGCCCACAGCAATTGAATTTTAAGGAACACGATGAAAATGTACCGTTGGAATAAAATATACTATTGTTTCCGCAGGTTGTAATGATAATCCCAAATACGCCGACATTTGTCCTTCAATTGCTTCATGTGGAAACTACTGCAACAATAACAAAGCTTGGGCGCAAAAAAACTGTCAAAAGTCATGTAGAATGTGTCAAGGTAAGTTCCATAGTGCACTCCCTGAGAAATACGAACAAAGTACAAAAAAAGGTGGAAAACGTCTGTGTTCGGTTTTCCGAGAATACCGCGACACAATTTGAAGTCGACGCATACAAAAGGTTAGCTAAAATAGTCAACGACTGAAAAGCCGAGAATGAATTTGATACTTCGCGTCAACTGAAAACTCTTTAAAACGAACATAGAATGAATAAAAAATGCTTTTCTCAACCAACTCGCCAAATTCCCTTTCGATCGGTTCGATGGCTTTGCTCGTTAGGAATTAGATCTATCAACAAACAAATTTTAAACCTACATTCCTCTTTGGCATACATATTAATTTTAAATATGGGAACAGAACTTCATTCTTGCGCACATTTTTCAAACTATTTACAGCGTTTTAAGAAATCGTAAAGACAGGTCTTACCATTATGTCCGTTTAGATTTCAATTTTTTCAGAGGTTGAAATTTGATGATTGAAACAATGCGAAAATTATCTTAATCCTGTTCCTTGATTCCGATCAATCTTTGTTGTTGAGCTCACTCGATTAAACTTACCCAAGTTTCACAAGAAAATAGAGTCAATGGTAAAATGATTCTCTCGAATTAGAAAATATTCACAGCCTTTTTCTCCTTTAAGTTGACTGACTGAGTAGAATTTATTGCAATTTCACAACAGGACAACTCCAATGTGGCTCCACGCCCATCTCTCAATCACGTGTCATTGGAGGTCAAGATGCAAAGCCTGGAGCCTGGCCATGGCAGGTGTGATGTCTTAGCTTTGCAAGTGTACATATTCTACGCTGTCTGTTTCGAGAGACTAGCAACCTCAATTTAACATCAGTTGTAGGGTATATTAGGAAATCACCGCTGGCGAGATAAACGTTTGGTTTCATTGTTGGCAAGTTTAAACATGACTTCCTGAATTGTAGTCGTGTTTTTAAAACCAAGTTTGCAGGCTAAGGTTCATTAAAATCCCTTCAACTGAAGGTAACGGATCCTGTATGAAAGTTTATAAAATGTTTGAAATTTGAAGTTAGTATTCATACTATCGATGTTTCGTCATATAGATCGCATTACAGCGTAACAACAGATTCATCTGCGGAGGATCGCTCATCTCTGCCACTTGGATTGTTACTGCTGCCCATTGTGTAGCAAGCAGCAGGTAAGGGCTTCCTTTTTTTATTTGACAAACAGGGAGCAAGCCTAATGAAGCTTTTGAGAAAAACATTGGCTGATTACCAAACTGATCAACCCACCAACCTCAACATATAGCGACCAACCAGCTTGCTGACCAGTAATCTTGAACTGACTGGCCAATCAACCAACTGGCCAACTGACGACCTATAAATAAGAAACGACCAACAGACCCGACCCGACTGATCAACCGAATGACCATCTCGACGTCTACTGTCGAACAATCAATGAAACTGGTCAACAGACCTAGCCGGTCAATTACAACTGACTGTCTATGCACCATAAAACAACCAACCAACCTACAATTGAGAAAAATCACCGAGATTTGAATCTGATTGACTTACCATACGAACAGGTGACCAAATATAAGACGAATAAACTGGCCGATCAACCGATTCACCAAGCAATCAAAACACGGCGAGACATAATTCACATCCCATTATAGCATAACATTCCTTCATTGGACAAATATTCCAGACTATATTTGACAGTCCAACAGTGTAATAAGCTTCTTTGTCGATTGAAGGCTGTGCATAACCATAATGCAGCAATTCCATATTAACCTGAGTATACTTGTGTTGTTTATCTTTAGTAACCCTGCAAACTATAAAGTAGTTGTGGGAGATCACAATCGGAATGCTAACGAAGGAACAGAGGAGTCAGTTGGCGCCAAGCGAGTAATTTCTCACCCTCAATACAATCGTCCTGGTAGACTTAACAATGACATCGCCCTGATTGAACTCGCTGCGCCCGTGAAACTCTCTGCCAGGGTGAACCCCGTGTGTCTACCGTCTAGCAACTCAAACGTACCCACAGGATCAAAATGTTACATTACAGGTAAGAGCAGTCATAAGTAACGCGCTTGTTTCATGTACACTATGAGAATACTATACGATGATAATGCCAAAAACTCTTGTGTATCAAAACAAAACACACAAGCTTTAAATTTAAGTAATTGACCTAACGACTTGTGGAGAAAACTCTCTGCAAACTCTTCAAACTTTGCAGACGCCTAACTGAAAATCTATGGTTGGTTGAATCAGCTTTAATATTGCTTGCCTAACCAGCGGGGCATTATTCACAATGTAGAGTTCTGCATATTACCATGTTTAGCTTAAAAATGACACAGGAGATTCCTTTAGAAAGCACTGCGTTGGAGATAACAGCCTTCTGCAAGCATGGTTGAAACATTATCGTGCTTCCTCGTACACTTTTTCATAATTCTTTCCATTCCCGCCGGTAGGTTATCACTTAACAGATGGGGACACAATTGGGACCCACTTATCTGTCTCCTGAGCTATTGACGTGTTTTAGTGGTAATTTTGTGAACTTTCTGCTTTGATAGGTTGGGGAAAGATTAAACATCCGGGAAGTTCTCATCCTATTTTACAGCAAGCCATGATGCCGCCCATCGATCCAGCGAAATGTCGGCAGAGGATTCAAGCGAGTGGAGGTGCTCTCGATAATCTAGTAGATTTTCTCATTTTAATGTTGTCAGCTCTATGCTTATTTTTTCTTCTCTTGCGTTTTAATTTAGAACTTATTCATAAGGTTTGTTATGGGATTGTCAAATCCGCTCTTTTATGAAAAGCGTCCACACAACAATGAAGCGCAAATTATACATTAATTCTGGCTGGCATGTTACGAAACTACGTGCCGTAAATTTTCATCAACCCTGAATTCAATTTCCAGCTGTCTCAACAACCAAGGAATAGATCGAGAATGGACTCCCAATGTTTTCAGAATTTTAATGATCTGAACTAATCGCCATGTAAATGCCGTGGCTAATGCCATCTTAGGTGGGCCCGAAATCCGAATCTTTTTAACCGATCTAGATAACAATGTACTTCAGTGACGGATCACTAAGTCAGTTGAGGGTTTGAACTTCGATGCTTTCATAGAATTTGATTCTTTTACTTAGGTTTCATTTTGAAAATGCCTGTTAAACCACTCCTGCTTGCATCAATTGATGCTTCGAACTAACCATACTTGTTTATCAAACCCTGTAACCCACTATTTGTTAATGAACCCTTTAATTGACTAAGTCGAATGCCGTTTAACTCCAGCAAGAACATATTGAATTCGAGTAACATCAGTCACAAGAAGATTTTTCACGGTGTTAATAAAATCCAAAGAAGTTTTATATTATCTTTGACAATGGATAAAAATTGTGTTGTTTTGGATTACTCGTGCTTATCTAGGGATATTTTCATTTTTTGTAGTCTCAATATCGTTAACTCCGCAAATGTTGTGCGCGGGCGTGGACAATACCATTTTAAGTGGTTGCCATGGTGACAGCGGAGGACCGTATGTGTGCTTGAATGCGGACGGGAAGACATACACCTTGCATGGTGCAGTAAGCTGGGGTTCCTCCAGATGCGATGCTAAACAACTTTTTACTGTGTTTGCTCGAGTGACGCAGTACCGAGCGTGGATCAAACAGCACACTGGGTTAGGTGGATGAGGACATGCCGATAGATAAACTGTACATAAACTGGATCCATCAGAAAATGCGTTCTTAAAGTGTTAATTTAAGATGGTTTGAGGGGAAATAAAAAGTAATTTACGAGTGAAAAGTGTGGAGTTTCAATTATTTTTTCCGACCTCTTTTTTACCCGATGACCGTTTTCATAAGAATCCAGAAAAGTGGCCAATGAAAACTTAGCCATCGCAGTCGAGGCAAAAAATGATACAGCTGAAGATTTTTGAACGGTCTTAAATTGTTTACCCAGGTAATTCGGAATATCTGTTTGTGTTGGTGCTAAAATGAGAGCACTTTAAAATGTAAATCGATATTCTTCCAGTTCGTGAAACATCATCATCTGCACCAGATACGAAAGGGAAAAAACGCTTCCACAGATTTATATAGATACTTCTCCAATCTACATGTGATTTTCTGTATTTGATCGGTTGTTCGTGTAGTCTGATATAATGATATAAAAATGTACAATAGACCAGGAAAACACTGATTGTCGGTACTAACGACTGACACTGATATCTGAGCGAAAGTCATGATCAGTAAAGAGTGCTTGTGACTCGTGTTCAAGATTACTGACATTCGGACGATCAAACTGCAATATCAATTATTACACCTACGTTTAAACTATTCACCGTAGTAAATGATCCCATGAGATAATACCCTCGAGAACAATCCATTATCAATAGATGCCAACGCACACTTTATCACAAATATGCAAAATAAGGGGTTTCGCAATTCTTTCTTCCCCCCTGCATACCTTTCTTTACTAAGTTGCAAGAGAAATTCTCAGGAGAAACTTAAACAAACGAAAACTTGTCATCATAGAACTAAACTTAGAGAGTATTAACTAAATAATGCTTATTAAATCGTCCGCTAGCGCTCACTAAAGGTCGATCTTTGTTCTCCACTATGAACAAGAGAGGTCTCTTAGGAGTGGCTCATTTCAAGGATAGCAGATCACAGCAGTGTCTCGTTCCAGAGCCTATCCCCTAAAATAACAGCTCACATCATTCATATTCCTTTGAAAATGATGAGGCCCCCTTGACCGGCCTTTTACAGCTCACTTATCTTTCCAGAAGTTGAGAATTTTCTGTAGATTATCTTCGTTTGCAGTTTTCCTGATATCAAGCCATTGCGAGAAAAAATCGCGGAGCCTAGAGATGATGAGTTAAAGATGCTCGTGATGTCGCATGTTTTGACCTCACCTGGATACTCCACGTATTTCTATCCGTTTTTCTCAGCGATGTCTCTGACCTGCTCATCGCTGAGGTACGCACCCGAATTGAAAACCAGACTTTGAGTGAATGCTCTTCTCCCATATTTCACAAAGGCATTCTCTTCCCATTGAATTACACAGAAGATTATTCAATGCGCTTTAAGTTCTTTCTCGTAACAATGCTTCAACGTAGTCTCGAGATAAACATAGTAGAGACTATGAAAAAAGTGAACTACATCAAATCTTGCATCGTCCTCGTCTTTCTCTATAGCGTACTCTTGAAAGGTAGTCGCCACCCACTCATATGTAACCTCGTCTGTTGTAGTAGCTTTACCTTATTGCGAAATGTTTCCAACATTCGCCTGTCTCAGAGGCTCGATGACACGCTCCGATATTATATGCTTTCCCTTATCCTGTGTAGATTTGTTTACAATCTGGAGAAAGGCAAGATCATTGTCGCCTTCACCTCTCCTAACACCAAGAATGCGAATCGTCGAATAGTCACGATTTTCCAGGCAATTGCAAGAAAAATTTTCGATGAGCTCGTCTTCGTGTTCCCCGATATGCATCTTTAAGTTTGGGTTAGATTCCCCGCCCCCTAGGGAGGCATAACCATCTCAGTAACGACTCTGAATAAGCTTCAGGGCAAGTAATAAAGGTAAGACCGTCTGGTTTAGAGTTATCTCGAAGATCTGCAAAAATGGTTGACCTTGAGCCCGTGCCAGCTGTATCATTGGTATCATCGTCCATGTTTCGTATCAAGGGGTTAAGTTTCTTAAGAAACTGTGGTGCTGCGTCTGTAGGAGAGTATAACAGGGTAATTTAGTGTTATCAACTGAGTTGAAAACGTAAATTGGCGACCGTTAAGAGTTTAAAGGCTGACGTTTCGAGTACTAGACCCTGTGAGCAGGGTAACTGGGATACCTGGATGGTACTGGATCCTTGGGATCAAGTGTGGTGATACTACGGGTCTCGGACCAGTATACTGAAATAGTGAGCTCAAGTCTGGCCGAGGGCATACACCTATTTCAAAAAAGGTTGTCATCAGGCGACAGGTGTTAGGTCATTCCGAGACGGAACGGAATCATGGGTATACAACTCGGTAAATAGTTCTTGCTGAGTGTTATACATTTGTTTTTTTAACTCGATAAAAGTTTTTCTGTATAGTATTCTGTTAAAAACTGAGCAAATATAGTATGAATCTTCCCTAATCTTACTTTGAAAAGCTGTGATCTTATGATCTAAATCATGTTTAACTGAGTTTCTATGGGCTTCCTTATTAGCTTGGAGTTGTGATATAATCTTATCTTTGTCTGCAGGATCTAGTGTTTTATATCATTCTGCTCTGCCAGAAAAAAGTTTTTCTTTTTCTTCAGGATTTAATGACTTATGCTATTCTGCTGTTTTTTGTTTTTGTGCAGTATCCAGTGATTTATACCAAATTGCTCTGCTAGACAAAAGATTTTGTTTTTCTGCAGAACCAAGTGATTTATACCAATCTGCTGATTTGGACAAAAGCAGAACCAAGTGATTTATACCAATCTGCTGATTTGGACAAAAGCTTTTCTTTTTCTTCAGGATTCAGTGATTTATACCATTCAGCTTCTTTTTCTGCAGGATCTGGTGACTTGCAACATATTGCTTTATTAGACAAAACTTGGTTTTTCATAGCAGGTTCCTTTTGTGTATAGCTTTCTTTTTTCCTTTTTGCATGTAGTTCTTTCTGACTATGAGACTTATGTTTTTCCATTACCTTTTGTCTTCCAGCATTTGACAAATTGGTTGAACAACATATAAATTTAATACAATATTCTACATATTTACTCTGGAAGTGGTTTTTAACAATATCCCCTAATGACTGAATAAGAAAATCTATATCATTAATTTTTTCAAATATATCAAGTGTGCCATTAGGACTGAATCTCATAATATAGTACTTAACACTTTTTGCTTTTGTTTTCATATTATTGTGCTAAAAAAATACAGCAGAAGCAATAATTTGAAATCCATATTAAAAACCCAGTATTATCCTTAGTATTATCTGTGATTAACTTCTGAAGCAATAATTTGCTACCAAGAGATGTACAGCATAGTATTCTTGCTTCTCCAAATTAAAGGCAATATTAATATCTGCATCATATATTTGAAGTGTCCTTGGGAAATTGTTGATAGTCAGTGGATGGTTATCGCCATTGAGTTTTTCTTTGTAAAACTTGTTTGCATGGTCAGTGATTCTATCTAGAGTCTGTGAATTCCAATACCCACAATATTTGATAATGGAAAACAATTGCTATAAAAAGATGTGGCACAACAGCATAGCAAGGGAATATGAATAGTTGTAATTTCAGCATCTGCATGATTTGCTTCCAGGGGAACAGCTGACAACTGCTGATCAGAAATATCTGTCATATCACATTGTTTTTTAATTAATATGTACACCTTTGAGTTCAAATAAAACATTTGGATTTTGATAAAGACCTTGAAAATAATTATCAGTTCATTTAAGGTGTTAACTTCTAACAGTACACAAGTTCCTTGAGGATGAGGCATACCATGAATCTCTGCCTTGAGAATCAAATATCTTAAACTTACCATAACTACAGTAAAAACCTACCCTAGTATGAGGTATTCTTTAAAGAAAGGAAGTATAATTTAGTCCTAGCAAAGCCTACATAGCATTAGCAAATGACATACAACAATTGAAATCTTATACTTCACAAGTACCATGTATAGTACCAGTATGACTTGGACTATATTGAAGCTGATAATTAATATCAAACACTATTATCATTTCAGGTACTTCTGTGAACAGTAAATAGGATTCATTGGATAGACTAGATAGACCAGAATACAATTCATTACCAATGTTCATGATATTAACCAAGTCCATTGAGGATACAATACTATTCCTCTTGTTATATATGAGGGAAGAAAATGACATGGCTACACTTTGTGTACCAGCATTTAGCCCAAACATTGCCACATTGTTTTGACTGTATAAGGAGCTTGAATTGTTTTAGTAGAATTAATAACAGGACCAGGGTTTGTTTCACAGACAGATTGGACTTAAAATGATTTACCCTGTGATTCAGATTTTTATAAACATTTGGTGCTGAACTAGACCTCCATGCATTCGAGTGCTTTAGCTTTCGACTTTTTATTACATGCGGATATTGGTTTAGCATTTTCATTATCCTGTATTTCTTAGACTTTCAATATTTTCTCCTGACAGCAGAAGAGGGATATTTCGTCGTTCCTTTATTCTCACATCTGATTCCACGCGCATATATTTTTTCACGAGCTTTATTTGTAAGAAGATGCATTCAGGAAGACTTCGGTGTACTTTTCCTGATGTAGGTTCGAAGTAAACGTCTTACCTTCCTGGATCTCTTCAAAATACGTGTAATTCTTTTCTTTGGTATTCTGCTGGGCTCACGATCACGAACATGAACACCATGCGTACGAGGGCGATTAAAATAAACAAATTTGTCGTATCGAGATCTACAGTGAGAAACTGTATTCATTGAAAATGCTTCATTATTGCTATTATTAAGCTTATTACCATATACAATAACAAATAACTGAGCAGCTTTCTCAAATACGTTACATTTATCGAAGATATTCATGGCAGCTTTTGCTGAAAACATCAACAACTTAACGTAGAAATTAGCCCACAAGACAATTGCGTAAACAGTAGATAATATAATAACATCATACACAAAAAACACAGGATTTTGGCTCATGTATTTATTAAAAAATAATATCCATACAACTACAACGAAAACAAACATAACATTCACCTTTCTGATCGTGAAATTAATACCATTCGTACTGTTATCGTAGCTACGTTCCTAGGCATCAAGTGAATCCAATATGGCGTCTTTCTAAATACAGGAATGGCTCCGACCTGTGATTGGATGATAAAAATAGTAAAAGTTGAATGGTATTTCTGACGAATTAGTCTGCGAATAAGGCAGAAATAGATATTTTGTCGGCACGAGATACGACAAGGCCTGGGCCTTAGGCCCAAGCATCATGGGTAATGATGCAGTGGTATATAAAGGAAAGTATAGCACGTGATGTCCATCTAGGCCTCAGAACCAACCGTTCACCTCTGGCTGATGACAAATTTATTTTAGTTTGAAAACATATTTTCTTTAGCTGTGAAGCCTCGTAGGATGGGCTGCCAACTGCTCTGAGTTTGGGCCATGGTTCCCACCCAGATTTCCTGTCATGTTTTTCCCCAAAGGGGTTTTTTCTGGCAGGTTTTTTCTGGCCTCTGTATAACCGTAGTTATGTCCATGTAAGCGGTTGCCCATCTCTGTTAATCCAGACTTGGTGAAGTTTGCATGTTAGTAATGTATACCTTTTTTTTTTTTAATGTGTAAGGAATTGACTGTATATCAGGATTGTATATGGTATATTAGTTGCGAATATATGTATGTATGCATTCCCCGGGCTATATATGCCTCGGGTTGGTTCTCGGCAGGCTTCCCTAAATAAACTTATTTGGTGTACACTACTGTGTTATTTGTTGTGTAGTGGAGACAAAATTAAGATATATCTTAACTCCTTGCTCGTGAGTATTGTTAACCGCGTGTCCTAAAGCGGAACAATTAAATATAAATGCGAGTGAAAATACCGATGTGTCAAACAAGAAATGGTTACTTACGTAGCGAAGGGAAGGCAGCCTTTCTTGTTCAGCGAGGTCGTTCAGCGATATTCCGGCGATGAAAAAGTCACCTGCTGACTAGCTCCGCTGACTAAACTCATTTAGTCAGTTTAGGCGGACGACCAGAGACTGGAGCCATTGCTGTATTTCACGGCTGACGTCGGGGGCCAATGACCATAAAGGGCTTGGCTGGACCTACGAGCAGGAATAGGCAAAGTTGTGAAAAATTTGAAAATTTCTTTTGAAAATCTTTTAGGCAAGGTGAGAAATATTTTCGAGAGCCACGGTTTTAGCTAAAAATTTTCAAATTTGAAAAATTGAAGCGGTTTTTTACAGATGGTGCGTGGAAAGCAGTTGGCAAATTAGTTTAGGATGGCTCGTGTACTTTACAGAAAATGTGGTTTATGTTCGACTCATTCTTTCTTAAATTTAAGTGGTATAAATACCTTGTCTAAAACAGTAGTGTGATACAATAGCAAACGAGATATACTCGTTCCAATACAGCGTCATGTGATGAACAGCCTTCATTAATTTTAGAACAAGTTTTATAAAATCATTTTACTATTTCTTGTTATAGCCGAAAACTGTTCGAAGATTGGTTGTACCATCACTGCAAACAGTCAAGGTACTTCGACATGATTCAGTGCGAGAACGACTGTCACTGGTTTGACTGGTAAGACGTTTTTTTGGTTTGTTTTGTTTGCTCCTTTTTTAGGTCTAGTGGAAATGTTAGAAATTACCAAGTCAAATTAATCCGCGACTTTCTTCCTTTAGGTGGTGTGCAAACACAGATGAAGAGCCCGATGAATTGATTTGTCCTTCATGTGAACAATAACCTCAAAAATCACGGAAAACTCCCTCGATTGCGGCCAAGCTATATTTCTCCAGCAGAGCATACTGCAAATTAGAAACATCGGTCGCAGCGTCACGCAACATTGCGTGATTTTCTAAACGTGACATGCAGTTGCTGCATTATTTTAAAACTTAGAAACTACATGGCCCTGTAGTAATAAAAGGGGGCTTCATTTGCAAGCACTGTAGACTTCAACATAAGAAGAACCTAATAAATCGCTCTTTCAGTTCGGCTAAACTGCAGAATACCCAGCCACTTTGGTCCGCCTCACTTACATGTGTCGGGAAGCGTAACACACTAGCGCTGTTCTTATTCAATGACATGTAAATGAGTGGCCGAGTATTCTGCAGTTACTCTCAGTTTTTATCTCAGTGTATAAATTATTTAGCCAGAACGAAAAAAAATTAATATACGTATGAGTTGGAGCCATTTCTGTCTGCGGTGAAATACACGAATGGCTCCAGTCTCTGGTCGTCCGCCTGAACTGACTAAATGAGTTTTGTCAACGGAGCTTGTCAGCGGATAACTTTTTCATCGCCGGAATGTCGCCGAACGACCTCGCTGAACAAGATAGACTCTGTCTTCTCTTCGTTATGTAAGTAGCCATTTCTTGTTTGACTCATCGGTGTTTTCACATTAATATTTCATTTTTCCGCTTCGAGACAGGGTGTCTACAAAACGAAGACCGAAGACCGAAGACCGAAGACCAAAGACCGAAGACCGAAGACCGAAGACCAAAAAACGAAGACCCTAATTTTTTTTGCCCGAATAAGGCACGGACAGTTAAAAGACCAAGCCAAAGCGTTCCTCAGCGCAAACAGATGTGAAAATAACGGGGATCTTCGTTTTGTAGAAAAGACCCCCTGAATCTACGAAACGAAGACCCTTAATAAAACGCTTTGTTAGACCCTAATTGACGCGAAATCAAGGGGGTCTTCGTTTTGTAGAAAAGACCCCTGAATCTATAAAACGAAGACCCTCACTAAAACGCTTTGTCAGACGCCAATTGACGCGAAATCAATGGGGTCTTCGTTTCGTAGAAAAAGCCCCCTGAATCTATAAAACGAAGATCCTTGCTAAAACGCTTTGTCAGACCCCGGGGAAGGGGGGGGGGAAACTCCTATAGATTGCCTATAAGGGTATGTGCTGCCCGACGGGGTCATGATTTCGGAGCTCCTGATTTAGAATGAGCTATCCAATTTTATGACGGAGCTTCGGTTCGTGGGCGCGAGTTTCCGATCCTGTCGCCCACTGACATAAACCATATGCGAAACCTGTCACTGAGTCAGCTATGGTGCTAGCTTTTATTTTCGAATTCCTCGAAAATGAAGCTATCGGCGATGTAAAACGGTTTTCCTTGATTTATTTGAGATCGTGCATGGCTTGAGAAAGCTTCAGATCGGCTCACGCGCTTGCACTTAAAGTTTATTTTCAAACATGCTTTTACTTCATTATGTAAACAATATTAATTAAATTTTAGAGTTCACGATTACATTGATATGCTTTTGATACAATTGTTGGTCCGAAAAGACATATAGTACAGTAATTTACGCTTCCTTGAGAAACGATTTTCCGCACGGAATGATCTCTGCAAAAAGCTTTATGTTAGAAGTATTATGATCAATTTCTTTAGGTACCTTTTGTTAAATCAAGGTAGATATAAGAGTTTAGAAACTGTGCTTATCTTGCCTGGAATCTGGAAGCAGTGATGCCGAGGTTTCTGCATGCTGTGCCTCAATTTTTAACGCTTTCAAACAAGGATTCTTAAAACTGACAGGTTATAACTGAATATAAAAAGACACTATAAAAATTGCACATATTTTGTAAAGGAAGTTAGGAACGGTTAGTTAGGCATGTTAGGAACGCTTTGGCTTGGTTTTTTAACTGTCCGTGCCTTATTCGGGCAAAAAAATTAAGGTCTTCGTTTTTCGGTCTTCGGTCTTCGTTTTGTAGACATCCCCTACAACCATCTACAACCACCTCAAAAATTTCAACAACGACCTATAACCACCTTAAAAACATCTACAGCCACTCTCAAACTGTCTAAACCCATCTAAAACAAGGCATAAATGTTGTAAATAAGGCGAAACGATATGTCACGTACATGAACTACGAGAATCGAACGAAACTTCCACCTCCCCATGAAATCTTACTCTTCCTGGTCCCATGTATAATCAACCATCTCACGAAATGATGAGAGAGCATGCCAATTATATTTTCTATTACCTCAGTAGTACAAGACCTAAAGAACTTTACAAAATGAACCATCAAGTTACAAAAAATAACAAAGTAAAATAACAAACTCGTAGTCAAGACTGACTTGACTTGGCTTTTTCTACCCTGGGTACCAGTGTTCCAGTGCTGAGATTATAAATGGAGAAAAACACCGCCTTGGACCATTACGTAATCAAATGAAACGTGAGCCAAAACGTCTGCTTGTAAAGTTCTTTAGGTCTTTTACTACTAAGGTAATAAAAAATATTATTGGCATGCTCTTCTCTTCTCTTTAGTACTTACCGCACTCCAAAGCAATAAGGAGAGCCACGAGGCAATGTCAAATTCTAGTCTTCCTAAGCTTTCCAACGTATCGAAGGAAATTTCGCTAATACTTCGCACCTAAAAACGCTACCAGAATCTTACTCTTTCACCAATCTGAAGCGTCTCAAAAGGCATCAAGGATAGCCCATGAAACAAGGATAGCCCCTGAAATTCTCCAAACTTCGAGCGCGGAAATCTTAACGATCTTCTTACAATTTTGCATTATATCCGTCCCCTAGTTGGGAAGTGACACGCAGAAGGCACGATCACAACGCATTTTGATAGGAAGAAACAAAACCGCATTCTATTGGTTATTAGGTGTGAGGACATAACTACAACCGACGACACAACTGTAACGCTACATGCATCCCGTTGTAGCGGACGAGGTTACCGATGTTGCGTAATCACTTTGTGGGGCAGGGGACAATGGCCCTCTGCCTCTTTTGAAATTTTCGATTTTTCGAAGAAAGCAAAGCGCCATAAGACTCTCTTGTATAATTCTTTTAAAAGATTAATTGAAAGGGTCCTATAAGTAAAATAAAATAAAATGAATTACGAAATTTTTAACTGTCGGCGGATTCTCCATATTTATGGTCATTGGAGTTAAACCATTTCACGGGTCGACTTTGAACCCGAGGCAAGATCAAGTCACGAGTCAAGTTCGAATCTACTTAAATTTTTCCCCTCTTTTTACTCGGCCTTTCCGAAGGAAACGCCCGAGGTATAAATTCGGCTTTGTTTTTTACTGGGATACCTGTGGTAGCCCAGTCATAAAATGCCTTTGTTTCATCATCTTGTTTCGAATCACGAGATTTTTGCTTATAAAACTCTTTTGTCAGTCGTTTTGTATTTCAACGGTATTTGGATTGCGATCTCCTGGAGCATTATGGCGCAAACGCTCAAAATACTTACAGACGCATATACAAGTCGTGTTATTCGCGGCTAATCCACACTAAAAGATGTTATTGAGCGGTAATTACTGGGATACCTGTGGTAGCCCAGTCATAAAATGCCTTTGTTTTTTGTCGTCCTTTTTTTTTTCCTCCGTCACAAAATGGAAAAATTGCGCAGTAGTATCCAGTGGTCATTGGCCCTCAACACATGACAACTAACTGTGATCTAATGAGGTGTTCACATGCTGATCACGCGTGTTATCTTGATGACGATTGACGTTGTCATGCACGGACAGGGCCGGGTCACATGACGAACCACGAGATTTTTGCTTGTAAAACTATTTTGTCAGTCGTTTTGTATTTCAACGTGTTTGGATTACGATCACCTGGAGCATTATGGTGCAAATGCTCAAAATAAAATACTTAAAGATCCATACATAAGTCATATTGTTCGCAGCCAATCCACACTAAAAGATGTTATTGAGAAGTAATTTTGGAACGGATTGAGTCGCGAACGCTTGAAAGCCATGAAAGCCTTGAATGCCTTGTATGCCTTGTATGCCTTGTATGCCAAGTATGCCAATGTCTTAGTTGAAAAACGTACACTTGTTGTAAAAAGCAAAGTCTGAAATCTGAAACCAAACTGCATATACACTATGCAATCTATTGAACAACACTACTGTGTTGTTGTGTTGTAGTATCATTACACTTGATTCCAAGGATCCAGTACCATCCAGGTATCCCAGTTACCCTGCTCAGAGTCTAGTTTTTTTTTTCTTTTGCGTTCAGTCACAAAACGCAGTTCCATTACAGTGAAGTGAAGTGAAGTGTAGCGCATGCGTAGAATGAAAGCAATGGCTACCTTTGTGGACAATTCCTGGCTTGATGTACGCGAAAGAAATTCGATGCCTATTACGCCCAATATACATACAAAGTCACACACCGTTCGCGGTAGACTCACTCTAAAACGAGGGTCTGAATGGGGGGGTCAAAATGTCGGTTGTCGGTTAAAATTTCATTACTTTGTCGGTTGTCGGTAAATCTCAGTTAATAATTAAAAATACACGTTAATTATTCACATTTATTATGCAATTTGCCCAGTTTTAAGACTTTAAACTCTAGACGAAGTGTAATACTTTAAGATCTTTAAGATCTTTTAAGATCTTCTTCCCTACCTGAGAAGATTGAGAATTTACAAATTTTTTGTTGTTTTCTGTGTTTTCAGCCATGATTTGGGCTTTAAAAGTAGCTCCACGGTTTCTTTTACCAACGCTACAAGAAGACGGCGCGAACATTGGTTGTCTTGGTTTATTTTTAAAAATACATTTTAGCCCGGCAAATTCTTTATTTTAGCACGCAAAATGCGCCACAATGCCCATCAAAGTGATAATAATACAGTTTTTAGCCGGAATTTAAAAGAAACTATCTTTACATAGCGAACGCACCACGTGAGCGTTTTTCGTTGTATAAACAAGGCAGTGATTATAAACAAGGAATACCGCAGAATTTCCAAAGTAGCGAAATTTATGACTTTTGAAAATCAGGTAAACGAACTACAAGTGCTAATTCAGGCCTACCATCCTGAAACTTTTGAAGGTCTCCTTGTTGCCTTTCGTTTCTCTCGATGTCACCTCCTTCAGTCATGATCCTCTTTGCCAGATTTTCATCTTCTTTTGCTTCTTCTCGTGATTTCCGTTTCCTTCTCACTTTTGACTCGTCACCTTTCTTCTCAGTGTCGTTCATTGACTTCTGCTTGCTTTTATCAGATGTAGCCGGCGCCTTCAGCAACACTACTGGCTTTCCGGTCCAGTTTGTGACCTCTTGGATAATGTGTACTAAATATTAAATACCGTGTGTTTTAAGTTTTCTCTTTAGTAGGCTTTTGAGAAACTTACACAGTTCTTATCAGCAAATGCTCGTCAAGATGTATAAAACGTGCAAATCGAGCGAAATCTCGTGCGTAGCTTCCCTCGAGGAGAGAATTGAATATTATTTGAACGTCTGGTTTTCAGAAACGAATAAATTTAAGGGCGTGTATAAATAAACGGGGTCTTTAATATGTTAAGCTACACTGTTTTTCATTCACCAATTAATCAGAAAGAAGCTTATAAACTGATTTAATCGCTACCTCTTTGTAGAGATTTTTCTTCTCAATTTTCGCATTCAAATGGACGGTGAAAAAGAAAAAAAAACATTCCGCTCAACAAAACAACAAACAAAAAACGGTGGAACCAGAGTTTGACCAAGTTAATATTTGAGCTTAATATTTAACTACAGAACTAAAGTGATTCATCAAACTCCGCTGCACGCGCTCCACACTTACCGTTGAGCTCACTGCTACTTTCATCCGATATTAAATTTGGAAGTTCAAGCTGCCATTGCCCATCCGTCACAATTGCAAAATTTTCGCATTTGCCCGTAGGCGATTTCGCGATAACGAAAAACTTTAACGAAAATCCAAATTCCATATTGATGTGCCTGCTCCTTTAGTCCTAAAAACTCCGTAAGATGTTTTTTAGTTCAGATACTCCTCTATGAGCTTCTTTGTCTACTGGGACCCTGCTTCGATGACGTTCGATGGCGACTTCTTCACCTTTTCGAAAAAAACTCACGATGACTTTCGCAATCCCAGTCATGACCCGACCGCATGAACAAACAACGAGCAATAAAAAGATAACAGCAGGGCGTCTCGTCGGCTCGATTGTGATCCGCTGTTCTTGAAATGAGACAGCAGGGCGTCTTGTCAGCCCGATTACGAGCCGCTGTTCTAGAAATGAGCCCACGCTGCTCACCGAAAAGAAGGATCCCGTGGATTTAAAGTAATTTGAAGACAAGAAATTCTATAATTCGGCTAAATTTGGAATTAATGTGGTTACATCTGGTGAAGAAGGATTTTCTGAGCTAGAAATCATCAAAATGCTGTTCTTTCTGAATACAAACATCCCTATCACGTCTGACCATGTCGGTTGTCGGTTAGAATTTATTTGTCGCTAGTCGGTAATTTTTTCCCCGTTTCGTCGGTAGTCAGTAATTTTTTACGCCCTTTGTCGCTAGTCGGTTAACCCCATTCACACCCTCTAAAACTTTTGGAGCGTTTTGGGAACGGGTCAGTCCGCGAACTTTTCGAGAGATCAATTTACGAGCGACCCTTTACGAGTGAACCTTTCATTGAGAAATATCAAGCGAAACCAGCTATATCAAACGAGTTATCCAATATTATGTTTACATGTGAACACAACCGTGTATTTAGACGTGATCGAGAACCCCAGTAGAATACCAGAAGTTACTCTGAAACGTCTCAGAAGAAAGGGCAGAAAACTGAAGGAATTTGTTTAAGAGTGTAATCGTCCAAGCATACCGAAGTCCTCTTGGCTACGTCGTTATGTGAAGGTTAGAAGAGTTACAAAGAATGATTGTAAGCTTAATACGAAGAGGGTAAGATTGAATAAAGTTACAAAACATGATAAGAAGTATTTGTTGAATTGTTCTGTAAGGGTATATCAAAGGATAATTAAACTGAAGTATAGAGCAAGTAGGTACTTAACAATGTTTTCTTGTAATTATAGACCCATATGTCTTTATAAGAGTCAGACACACGCATCAAACTATTGTAAATTTCAACTGAGTTCAGATATAGAGAAAAACCCTGGTCCTACTCCAATGTACATTGACCCTAGCAAAACAATAATGACACCATATAGCCAAGCTAATGAATTGGTATTTGGACAGAATTCAGGACAACAATGTGTTACAATGAGTTTATGCTCTTTGATTTACAATAACAAACAAGGAATCAATTCTGCTAATGATCTTGTGTCAACAATGAATATTGGAAATCAGTTGTATTAAAGTTTGTCTCAATTAACCAATCATTTTTAATGCAGACAGAATTACCCACACTTTTAAATGTGTTCGAGACTGACTATAAATTTCAATACAGTGAGAGCTACACTGGTGCTATTCATCAAGAAGCTACAATAGAAGGATATCAGTGCTGTACCTCCTTAGATAGAGTCTTTCAATCACTTATATCCGAAAATTTCAACAATTTTTTTAATTGACAATAGGATGTACTGCAGTTGCTATCTAATGTAAAGGTAATGTGGGCTTGAATATATTTGATTCTCATACAAGGGATATTTATGGCAGAAGCCATCCTCAAGGTACATGTGTGCTGCTTGAAGTATCATCACTGAATAGCTTATTATATTATTTTCAGAGTATAAATAACAATGATATATTTTAATTGAAAGGGGTTAACATTAATAAAGTTCAACATAATACCCTTTTTCAGAGTCATGCCTGTGAAATCAGAAAGTTCAATGTGAGTTGTGCTGTGGCTGTTTATTCACTCTGCTACTCTGTAATAAAATCATGTAGTTATTGGAATTCAAACACCTTATCTGGTGTTATTCAGTATGGCAAAAGATTATACGAAAATTCATCTTTGAACAAGTATTTACTGTTAGATGATATGCCAAAAACTGTTGATGTTTGTGGAACTGAAGTAAGTTTAGATCCTTAAAGTGATTAAAGTGAAGGAATATTGTCTGATTCAATTGACAGCAAATCACTTCTTGAAAATCTTGTAAGAAATAATAGTGAATGCACAGGGTTTTTGATGTGGTTTTCAGTTTTCTGTATGACATGTATTTTTAAACCCACAAAAAGGTCAAAATATGTCTATTCCCTCTTACTATTTAATGAAAGTCAAGTAACAAATTGCTACTACTATCCATCCATTAGGTACCCTGGCCCAATAGAGACCCTCAGCAGGGAGATATTTTCCTTGCCTAAACTTGATTTACATATTGTGCATGTAAACGATACATTGTCTTTCGTTATTTCTGCATTTAGCACACTACATACAATATTACTGCATACCACGAATTCTGCTGCGATTTTAATGATCTCCATCATAGTAAAGAATGGTGAAGAATTGATTTCAAAAGTTTTATTAAGGGCACAAAGATGGACTTGGCAGATGTTTATTCAGAAGGATAAGACAAGATTAATTAAATTTTTGAAAATCACCCCAAAAATTGCTTATTTAAACGCACCCTAAGTAAGCCCAAGTTCACGCAGTTATGCGCCTAGTTGAAATAATATCCTAAGGCAACACACTATCTTTGCAGCTGCAAAATATTAAACAAAACAAACAAACCCATTCACATAGCTAAGTTTTTTAACCTTTTACAGCCTATTTCATGTTTCGATTTCAGCGCGGACAAAACTTCCCACATTCTAAATTGTTGCCAAGCGCTCTTAGACCTATCTCTATCTTACAAAATCGTCACAAAGTATCCAAAACGTTTGAAAGGCTGTTATTGTCTGCAGTGCATGGATAATTCATCTTGTTTCAAGAAAAACGAGGAATGGGAAATGGAAACACAATCTAGGTTATTTATTAACCTTCCCCAATTTTTTTGTGGTATGTACAGTATCTGTGAGAAAATTCTTCACAATTTTTCAGGGAAAATGCATCGTTAATGACCAATAAACAAACACTCAAAGAGTGAGGAAGGCCTTAAAGGATAAAGGGGTTTTGGAAGGAACACTTGAAGTTCCACATTTCTTTAACAGCCTAGCTGGTATTCAAATTAAAGCCACAGATTATGCCCAACAATGCTTTCCTTGTAAATCCACAGAAAAAGGTTACATTTGTGACATTTCTTTGTTCTCTATTTGGTAACTTAAGTTGAAATGCAGCATTTTTATGGTGTTTCAAATTCAAGTATGTAATGTTGAATCATATGTTAACCCCACTTTAATCCCTAAGAGTAAGGTTCAAAGTTCTAATTTCTCCCTAAGTAAAGGGTTTAATTAAAGAGAATAAAAGAAATGATTGCCAACTGACAAAGCTCTTGATGATGTTACAGATTCTCCCTGTTAGATCCTAGGAAACGTATAGAGAATATGCATAGTGATATTGGGTGTAAAGGATTAAGTTTTATTTGGCTCACTGCACTTTCACAAAGAAAACATGTATATATCAATTTTTCTTAACATACATTAAATTAATTCTAATAATACACATCTTAAAAACCTCCTTCAGAACTGAAAAGGTGTTTTTCTGTTACATATGCAACATCACTTTTGTCAATATAAAGAAGAAAGCATTGTTATCAAACCAGAAAATAACCTACTCTATTACTTTCTACAATGCCAGAATTATGGAGGAAAAAAAACAGAGTTTGTTGACACAAATAGAAAAAGAGCCCTCTTAACTTTCAAATAGTTCAGAGATAACAACCCTCGTCAAACTTTCAAATTTAGTACCTTTTTCCTGTCACATATTTCAGGGTTAACCATTTGTACCCTAATATCAATATGCATATATTTCTCTATCTCTTTTGCACTCTCATTCCATCAGAATCATGTAAAAAGCTTTCCCTCAAATACAACACCAAAATACAGATCGCAAATTTCTCCTCAACAAAAGGAATCCTAAACTTTCTAACGCGGGTCAATTTTGAATTTGCCCGCCATAGCGACATCGCGACACGTCACAAGGCGTAGCTATAAAATTACTTTTTGTGAGTCATGTGCAAGAACAAACCAATTTTTACGCCTAAATGAAAAGTTTCACTTTGAACAATGCGTATATGTTCTTCGCTTAGGCAAACTTTTGCTCCAAGCGAGTTACAAGGGGGCAAACTTTGCAGAGGAGATCGTTTTGGTCTTCTCCGGTCGGGTCAGCAAGATGTAAATATTTCCCCAGAGTCATGAAACGGTGCTCTGGGATCGTTTTTTTTAAGCAATCAACTCCAACAAACTCGTCAGAATTCCAGTACATTGCCAGCTGAGGAAGTTCATGGATTCCAATGAGAATGTTTAGCCCGAGATACGCTGAAATTTCCGCTTGGGTAGATGTGAACGATCGATCCCCTTTCGAACGAGCGTACGCAACGCTGTATCGGACAATTTCGTCAATGTAAGCATCGTCGATAAATACATTGAAGAAATCTTTGGCAGTTGCATTTTCTCCAAGATCTCTGGTCGGGCCACGACGAATGGAGAATTCCTCAACATTAATTTGTCGCAATTAGCTAGACCATTGAAGAGCATTTGGTTGGCTTTCTTCTGCGGCAGATTCTTCATCACTTTTCGTCGACGATAAAAAGTCTTCCATCTCGTCATCCAATTGCGAAGTAAGTTTTGTTCATTCTGTGCTTGATGAAAATTTCGCTTTTTTCAATTTCTTCGACGATAAAACCAGCAAAGACTTCTTGCTCTTCACCGGATGAAAATTAACTTTCATCAATTCTTCCAGAAGCCATGTCTAAGACCACGACATATTTTAGAAAAATTTGTCAAAAATCGCACGGTAAACGTGGAATGGCGAGTTTGGTCTCAAACGAAAGCTTATTTTTTGCATGTCACGTTTCACTGCTTTTCAATACCCAGGGGAGTTTTGTTTCTAAGCTACAGCCAA